CCAGCATTCTAAGGCAATTCAAATCCATATTTAGGAAATTTGGCATTCAATTTATCATTTTTGGCCCCATTTTACTAGTTTCATAACATCAGTTATAAAAGGGGAGGGGGTGGTGGTGCCCCTAACCGATCCGCTTCTGCTGCGAGTGAACAAGTTTTCGGTCCCCAATTCTAAGGGGTGGGTGGGGGAGAAACATTCTACCCCCATGCAAGAACTGAATTTTTGTCAGGGAGCAAATAATTCAAAGTTTGTATTAAGTAATAATTCCATATAAGTAAACGTTGGCCGATTATTATTTTTTTGGTCGATGTCTCATTCAAAAGTGAATGCATTTGCAACGCTTGAAAAATTGTCAAAAAACTTTTGGATCGTGCCAAAAAGTTTAGGAAGTGAACGATAGAGCAAAATTATCGGTGGAATTGAACGGTATGACAGCTGTGACTTTAGTTTCAAACGAGAATCGAAGCCGAGCTAGGCTACCAGTGCATAAGCCAAAGTAAATTACAGGGTGAGTAAAAAAACACGAAACCCAAATGTCGGGACTATTGTTTTAGTGAAGTTCTGCTTGTAGCACTTTCAAAATCTAGGATATGAAAGCCCAATTTATAAGCTTTCTTTTAGTACAAAAGTCACTCAAATCACTCATGCACTTTTTAAGTTACGGAAATTTAAACACAACCAACGTTTTTAAAGTTCTGTCCACGAATCACAAACGGTAAGTGTACTTTCAGCAAAACGAAAACAAATCACATAAGGATGTGTGTAAATTGTTTTCGTTTTGCTGAAAGAACGCACACTTTTTTGTGATCCGTGGACAGAACTTTAAAACGGTGGTTGCGTTTAAAATCCCGTAACTTAAAAATTACATGAGTGATCTGCATGATTTTTATACTAAAAGAAAGCTTATGAATTGGGCTTTCATATCCTAGATTTTGAAAGTGTTACAGGCAGAACTTCACCAAAACAATAGTCCTGACATTTGGGTTTTTGATTCACCCTGTATGTGACATAAAAGGAACCTTTCCCTCTTTATCCTTTCTGCAGAGGGAGCCTTAATTGAGACACGGTCCTCGCTTTCAATGCAAATTTAAATTTCGTCTGTGAACACTGATAAGTCACTCATTTTCTTCTCAGCAGTAATTGGTAAATTTATTCTGAAGAAAAAAAACAACTCGTTTTCAAAATTCAGATATTTTTTGGCAATTTCAAAAGGTTCTTATATACATTTTGTTTGAATTATTGAAACGGCTCCATTTATGACACAGATCTGATATAGTGTTGTACAGGTACAAATGGGCACAGGTTTTTCATGCGGAATGGGGAAAAAACATCAGAGGGACCATTGAAAAATAGTTGGTCCTGACCATAGAATAGCGCCATGGGGTCATTACAGGGCAAAATTTCTTATTCAAAGAGCTGTTTATTTTACGGATGACGCTTAGGCCTGTAACGTTGATTTCAAGTTTGCGTTCCCACGGAAAGCTTTGTTCATTCGCTCCTGTCAAGCATCTTGGTTTTTTGCATGGAGCCAATCGACGCGGTTAAGTTAAAATCTGCCAAAATTGACCCTCCGAAATTTTTCGCCAGGACAAAATATTTTGTCCAAATAAAAAGCGTGTCCAACAAGATAATCAAAATCTAGTGCAGTTTATAGTCTTATAGATTCATAGGGGGCAAGGGCGGATCAAGAACACGATTTTTGGGGGGGCCAAAAAAAAATTTGTCCCCAAAAAAGTGGGTCAAAAATTTACGGCGTGGGGTTCGGGGCCCGCTTAAGGGCCCCGAAAATTTGTTGGATTCTAAATGCTCTGTGGTGCGATCTGAGGCAATTTCTGACCACTTTAACCAATGTTTTTTTGAGGAAAAGATGGTGGTGTACTCATTGCCTGCCTTTATTGCGATGTCACTTAAAAAAAAAAAAAATTGGTTTCGTTTTGGGGGGGGGGCATGGCCCCCTTTGGCCCCCCCCCCCGGATCCGCCCTTGATAGGGGGAGACAATTTCTCAAGGGAAGTGCCTGTAAAATGAATGCGGTCCTTACAATGTCATGTTGCGCATTTTGTCATGAATCATTCGTTATTAATAGGCTCTAATTTGACCCCCACTTTAATAATCAAATACATAAAGCATTATGGTTAGAGACTTAACTTGGTTGCAGGGGGGAATGGCTTGTGGCGCCGCGCCAGTCGTACATCCCTGCGCCCATGGGCCGGGTTGATGAACTACCGGTCGCCGAACTCCGGACAGCAAGGTACCGTCTCGCTCCCGCCTCGCGCTCTATGCATCGGTCCGGTCCGTCCATTATCTACTCGGCATAAACACGAGATCACCCACGCTGAAGTCCTGTTGCAATAATCACAACAACACATCAAAGTACATTACGGATCTCGGAGTGCGACTAGTTCCACCTGCAGTGGATGATGATCGATACGACAAATCAAAATAATTTAAAAGAGTGATTATGACACTGTATAGAACAGTGTTGGAGCAAAGGCTTTGACCCTCAAGGCCAAGGCCAAGGCCAAGGCTTTGACCCTCAAGGCCAAGGCCAAGGCCAAGGCTTTGACCCCAAGCCTCGAGGCCAAGGCCAAGGCTTAACCCTCAAGGCCAAGGCCAAGGCCAAGGCCCTGTTTTATGAAATGACCACTGATATAGAACTAATTATAGTCACATGAGTGACACATCATCACGCAAGGGCGGATCCAGAACACAATTTGGGGGGGGGGGCAAAGAAATTTTGGTCCCCCCAAAAAAAGTGGGTCAAAAAATGACGGCTTGGGCTTTGGGGCCCGCTTAAGGGCCCCGAAATTTTTTTTGATTCGAGATGCTCTGTGGTGCGATCTGAGGCAATTTCTGACCACCTTAACCAATGTTTTTTGAGGAAAAGATGGTGGTGTACTCATTGCCTGCCTTTATTGCGATGTCACATAAAAAATTTAAAAAATTGGTTTCGTTTTTGGGGGGGGCCATGGCCCCCTTTGGCCCCCCCCCCCCTGGATCCGCCCTTGGTGGTGTACTCATTGCCTGCCTTTATTACGACGTCACATAAAAAAAAATGGTTTCGTTTTTTTTTTGGGGGGGGGGGGGGCATGGCCCCTTTTGGCCCCCCTGGATCCGCCCTTATCATCACGAATTGCTCGTTACGAAGAACAACATTTCTTTAATTGCAATCAACATGCTCGCATAGGCCTACACCATTTTATGACTGCACTGTATCTATTAAAGTATAAGTTCAGGTCTTCAATATGGTTTAACTAAACAAAATAATGATTTACTTCTATATTGACACACAATTCTCCCAAGTGTAACAAAAGGGGGATCCAAGAAACTGATTTGGGAATTTTTTATTTGCTGGCCCAACATGGTCAGAAATATCAGCATTATCTAAAACAGATACATGCAAATCTTTAGCACTTATCAGGGAGACATATACAACCAATCAGATCTATTCAATAGTTATATGCAATTAAAGTGATCATCTCATTAGCCCCACAAGTGTACGGAATATTTTTGCAACAAAATGTGATGCTACAAAAGTGGAAGTGTGCCCAGCACACAAATCTACAGGGTGCTTCCCTCCTCCATGGTAATACAAAATGGTAACAGCAAAATTTCGAACAGATTTATCTGGAAAATGCAAAAATCTATGGGCCTTGAAGAGCCTTGACTCAAAATTGCAAGGCCCTGAACCCTCAAGGCCAAGGCCAAGGCCAAGGCTTTTGCCCTCAAGCCTCGAGGCCAAGGCCAAGGCCCTAAAATCCAGCCTTAAGGCAGCCTTAAGGCCAAGGCCCAGCATCAAGGCACTACATCACTGGTATAGAACAATCATTATTTTGTGCCTCATCGACGATGTGAACTTCGGCAATGCTACCCGGGAATTCCGAGCATTTTCTGGGTAGTGCTGCCGACGTTCCCTTGACTTGCTAAGACCAGGTATATACCGACAGGAGGGCGTAATCACCGCAATATTTCAAACAAAAGGGCATATGCAGAAAACTGCCTTTATTTTAATGAAATTTAAACATTTCCATCGAAAATTAACACAACTTGTTCCAACTATTATGATTCGTACGTGTCACAGGGGGGGGGGGGCACTTCCCCCCCCCCCCCCGATTTTCCCAGGCCAACAAAAGTGCCCCTCTCGCGGTTATAAGTGTGCCCCTCAAGATGAAAACAAAATATTTTTCAAGTGACGTCACAAAAAGGCAGCCACTACTTACACCACCCATCTTTTTCACCAAAATTGGTTAAAGTGGTCAGAAATTGCCTCAGATCGCAGCATCTAAAATCTGTTTTTTTTTTCGGGGCCCGAATCCCACGCCGTGAATTTGTGGACCCGCCTTTTGGGGACCACATCTTTTTACCCCCCCCCCCCAAAAAAATTGTGTTCTGGATCCGCCATTGCGGATCCCGAAACTGCGAAAGGCTTCCACTTTCACACCGACGGAAGGTGCCCCTTTTTCTGAATAAGTGCCCCTTTATTGGTGTTCCCCCTGGAGCGGGGGGGGGGGGGGGGTTCGACCCCCCCCCCCCCCCCCCCCCCCCCGGTGATGCATCTCATCTCGTTGTGATTTGTTTACGGTCTCCCATAGACAATGATGTAATGTGGTATTTAGAAATGAAGACGTCTAATTTAGGCCTAATATTTGAAATTCACCTGTAAAATATTGAATTTAGAGTACGAATTTTGCAGTTACGCTCGCTGCCTCAGCTCAATCACAAAACTGCGAGTTCACATCGTTTGAAAACCAAACATCCTTCGGAACGAGATAATGTAACTAGGGAACGGGCCTGCGGATTGTAGTACCATTATAGGTACGATACTACCAGGGCCTTTTTATATTCGCAAATTTTACACTCTCTACCTCCATGATTCGACCTATGATTCGACATCCGCAATGCAGCCTTTGCAGGTGTCCAAAAATCATCTTATTGCACCCCCGCATTTCCGGACTCGCGCCAGTGTTGCCTCGTCTCGTCCCTAGCCTTCAGCTGTCCTCCTCCGTAATCCGTATCATCAAACGCAACGTGTTATAAAGTCTTTCGGATCGAGTGATGTAATAAAATCGACCAGGGTCATCTTTTTCGACGATCAATAAAATCACGTCAAGCGGTGCCCAGACCCCTCACGTCTGTCCAGCGTGATCGGTGTAAAAATGTACAGACTATTGCATGAGTGAAGCACGTGTGCGTCTCGCGCTTGTCAGGCGAAACTGCACGTCAAAACTTTTCCAGGCCAATGCGCTGTACATGTGCACTAATAGGACACTCGTTCAGTGAAAGTGAATTCTGTATTCTTTTTTTAGTGTTCTCGTGTTTTATCGAGGCATTGATCTTTCTTCATCCAGAACAACTATAAATGTCAACTTCAGGGTGAGTAGAAGCATATTCTGTAGATTAAACTCTAGTAATAAAAGCTACGAAGTTAAGTTCTAATCATCAGGAGAAAGGTTTGAATTTACAAATGCAACATGCACGACATTGCGTAATGAATGTTGCAGCACATGGAGTATGCTGTATGTTGTGAATCATCGAAGCGAACTTCGGTATTGAAGTGGGAAGAGCCTAATTATTCACAGATATAGTAGACACATGGGCAAGGGCGGATCCAGGGGAGGGGGGGGGTGGCCAACGGGGGCCATGCCCGCCCCCCCCCCCCCCCATGGGTCGTGATTTTAACATTTTTTTTTTCAATTTTCACTCCATGCACAATGTACATAATATATTCTAAGGCATCTTCTTTCTTCAGCGCACGCCGCGGCGATCGGCAGGATAATGACATTATCAACAGACTCAAAAGTTGAGCATTGAAGATTATTTGCTGTCATTTAGCCGTATCATGCAAAATGTTCATTAATCACTGAACAAGTTTTGAAGGCGTAGAATTTTACACACAGGAAAAAGGTATCATTATCATAGTATAGCTTCATGACCTTTTCAACCGCCCACTAAAAAAAAATGGTTATGAAAAGGCAACATACTCCAGAGGCTCCATCGCTGTACAATCGGCACAATAACCACCTTTTGAAGAAAAATAGGGCCTATACAAACAAATAAACAACACGCACTGATAACTGCTCTCAATATTCTCAGAACGGGTAAAGTCTACTCCAAACAAGCATAGAAACAAGTATGTATAGGGCTAAAAAGTAGCAAGATAATACTTAGAAAATGAATTCCATTGGCGCTCGAAGTCTGAAAGCCCCGTGGCACGTCGCTTTGTAATACCATCAATAGGAAAAGTACACTTCGGTATTATTAACATAAATCAACATGTCAGTCACCAGAAAACCACCAAAATGCATTGCCAATGGCATGAGTAGGCGGGTCCACCCCGCATTATGTAGTCTGTCAGTCTATTTCCTTTTTATAAACAGTGCATGCACGACCACGTCACATATCACTCACGGAGCAGAGGTTCGTTCGGGCGGGTATAAAATTCCAGACATCCAAGCGGGAATTGGTCACTTTTTTTCGTCGGGCGAGAGCTGGCCAACTAACGGCCTGCAACTTTAACGCGCGCCTAGCGCTGGAACACGCCACACAGGTTACGTCACTCATAACTTTGTAATAAACTCGTCTGACCGCGAGTAACATTGACATTGGATCGAACGCAGAGGGAGCCAAGAGAAACATTCACAGCTTGAAAGGTGAGACAAGTAAATGTTACCTCTATACTGGTGCAGTGGTAGAGGTAACATAAGTCGTTAGGGGGGGGGGGGCCTTTCTCTTCTGAAAAACCTCGGGATGGTTGGGTTTCTTCTCGACTTTACTGCCAAGTAAAAATAGCAATGCGATTTGAGTCTTTTTTGTGTGTGGAACGGTGAAGAGTACGCTACATCTTGAGAGAAGTTTGCCGAAGTTCCCAAAAAAGAGGGTCACACCTCCGGTTCTGCTAAGAACAGCCTCTCTTTTTAGAGATTGTCACGTCACATGGTGTACCTGCAAACGTCTTCCAGGAAGCTAAATATCGTCATTGATACCAAAAGAATGTCATACCTTGGTTTCAGATGAGTTGAGACAAGAATGTTCACGAGTACACGATAATGAGTTGTGATTTTTCCCCTCTTTTTTTTCGTCTGAAAAGGCTTGACGGAGTCAAAATAGCGAAGATGGAAGAGCAGAGAGTTTTCACCAGCCAAGCCCCGTTGGTCCACCTCGACCGTGTGACAGCGGCCATCAACGGCAGCCCAACGCCCCGGTCCCCGGTTCGCGTCATGCTGTGGTGCGTCCCGCGCTCCGTCTCCACCGCCTTCCTAAAATGCATCGACGGGCTGGACTGCCGGGCCGAGATCTTCCACGAGCCCTACTCGGTGGCCTACTACTTCGGCCCGGAGAGGCGAGCCCCGCCCGGCCCCCAGATCCCCGAGGAGGGGCAGTACACCTACAGCTGGGTCCGGAAACAACTGGAAGCCGACTACATCGGTAGCGAGGTCATCTTCTGCAAGGACATGGCCTTCGCGGTGGACGGCCGCTACGACAGCATCCCGGACGGTTTCAAACACACCTTCCTCATCCGCAAACCCGTCAAGGCTCTGATGTCCTACCACAAGGTCGTCAACAGCTACCCTGGGTACGACGGTGAGGTGTCGGTCAAGAACGGCCTACCCAAGGGGTACGCCTTCAAGGAGGCTTACGACTTGTACAATCACATCTGCGCCACTTGCCGCGAGAAGCCCATCATTGTGGATGCCGACGATCTGTGTCGATCGCCCAACAGCATCCTGAGGAAATACTGCGACGCTGTCGGTTTGCCGTTCTCGCAAGACTTACTGTCTTGGCAGCCCAGTGACGGCATCAGCTCGCGGTGGCACTGTGCCCCCAGTTTTCGGGCCCTCAATTCCGCCATGGGGACTCACGAGAGGGCACTCAAGAGCGAATCGTTCCTCTTCAAGGGCAACAACAGGGTCGACCTGATGCCCAAGGACGAGCTTCCGGAGGGCGTGGTTGAATGTAGTGAGTGCAGTGAACCGTACTATAAGAAGATGTACGAACTCAGGCTGAAACCCTGAAAAAAAAAAACCCAAAAAACCCCAAAACCGCATTGTATACATACCAACGGAAAACGGTTCTTTATGTAAATATTTGATCGTGAGTGATTTTGCCGAAGTGTTGCACACTACAGCTTACTTTATAATAACAATCGGCTGTTGACATTTTGATCCGCCATCTAGTGATGTTAGCCTGCAAATGGCAGGCAGACGAATACTGCCAGAGAAAAATAATGCCAACATACCGTGGCGGATGGGTCTTCTTCTTTTTAGAGCCCAGAATTCACAATATACAAGTAATCATATTTTCTGCCGCGTTATTCTTTTTTTTAGGGGGCAATTTGATTATAATTTATGTGATTGTACATAATTATCATTTTTGAAGTTTTAAGCATGTTATTGTTTTATGCAGCCAAGGTTCATACTGTTTTGAAGAAAATAAAACACTCAACGTTTTACAAAGTTGACATTGATATGATATGGGACAGTGGTATTATAAGGAAATGGGTTGTTTCTGAAATAGTGTCTTTTTATACGGATTTAGAGCATTTGGGTTAGCATTTCGATTTTCGTATGGTAGAATTCGAAAGAGGGGAAGCGTTATACGTAGCTAGCTCGAAGCTAATTTTGTCTCCGAGGAGGAAACACTCTATCGGTTTCCATTTTGGTCCCAAACACGTTGTTCAGGTCGTTGTACTGTACAATTTTTAACTCTTTGAAGTAGGGACTCATTGATGTATTGCGCATGCCCGAGTGGCATTTTGGGGGAGACCCATAGAGCTATATTAAAGCTTTATGGGTAGACCTCAGATTTCATAGGTGTCAAACTTTCATATGACATGCTACCCAAATAGCATGTAACAGAATGCCAATTTAGTTCTAGGGCAGTGAATAATAGTATTATCAGTTGTCGAGGGGAAAAAGTGTCCGTGGCACTATATCTTCATACACGAATGGTATGGAGTGCATTTATAATTAAAGAAACGTTAGGCAACGCTTACGTAACGAATTATCCACAATGAAAACGCGTTCGCAAACTGCAACGCACTCCTTTGGCTAGCTGCTTTAAGCACAGAAATTGGCTACAGACAGGTTAATATCAGTCAAAACGTTTCATGTAAATATGTAAACTGCTGTCTGTCTGGTTGTGATTTTTACTTAGCAATTACATTTGAAGAATGTTGTTTGTTGATTGTTATATGCTTTTGATGTTCTCCAACTTTTTTAGAGAAACAAAATTCATTTGGTTTTCGAAGAAGTAGCCACACTTTTCGTGCTACCGTGCCGGTCACGTGCTGACGCTGCCCTCAACGTCCGGGCTCAGGCATTTTGTCCTGTTGCAAACTGCCATTTTGTATTCGTTATCAGAGGTACCATTGTAGTTTTGAAATGTTTTAAACGTTTGTATAAAAAGTTTGTATTTTTCAATTGATATATATTTGTGCACTTTTTGGAACTTTTGATATAGCGCGAAATAATAATATTTTGAAACAAATTTGGCGTGTCTTTACTTGGTATAATCTTGAGAATTTTATATTCATCGATTATATTCGAGTGCTTTGATAAAGGGGGGGGGGCATTGGATATAACAGTGGAGGGGCGCCCAATTTCATCCGTGCTCAAAGGTAGTAGACAGATATTTTTCACAGGACACTAGGCCTCCGTAAAATCAAATAGGGGGGGGGGGGGGGTGGGGGGGGGGCTGTACAAAACCGAATTCGTGGTCATTGTCAGATAAGTATCGCTGTACGCGTTTCACGGAACATTTACAGAAAAAATCGCGAAAACTACAAAATGCGGAAACAAAGGCACTTTATGTTAAACCGGCTATTCATGGTGGTGTGATTTTTGAAACTGCCAATTTTCAGGGGAGGGGGGTGCGAGGGTTGGGATGACTGGGGGCGACGATTATCTTAATGGGGGTGATGTGCGCCCCACGCCCCCTGTTATACGCCGATGGAGTGATCCACCGGTGTAAAACCGTGAGACACTTTATTTAGATCGAAGAGCTTTAATAATAATGACCCATCCAAAACTAGCATAGCTCTGTGGTTCAGATGCAGAACGATAGCCGATATTCCGGCTTCACACAATGCGACCGCTCTATAAAGAAAGGACCCAGTTAGACATTCACACTATACAATGTATATCGAAAAAGTTACATGTTATTATGAATGTGATCCATCAAGGATATTTCCTTTATTTTCGTGCGCTTGAAGCTAGAAACCTGTAAATGTACTAGACGTCAGAATGATCATCAACCCGCATGAGGGATCTCACTGAACTGATGAGTTAACTTCCAGCCCCTCTTCTCAGGTTCTGTTGGATGCTGCATCTTTCTGTGAACCTCGCAACATTTATCTTCATACAAAAACATCCCCAAGGGTTTGATGAAGGTTAAAAATATAACGTTTCAAAATGATTTTGAGAAAAGAGAGTTTTAAGACGTTTTTGACGTTGTTTTCTTCTGTTTTATTAGTATGATACTTACAAGTTACATCTTGACTTATGTTGTTCAATTTTCGTCAAGAGATGGCGCACTTCCATTCCCTGGCTTTCATAACTTTCCAAAATCAAAATGGCGACTAGCAGCAGCGGTTCAGATTCTCAAAAGCCACCCGAAACAATGAAGCGGGTCGACCTGAAACGAGACGAAATCAGCCCCGGCGATCGGCAGTACATGGCCAGGATGTCCCGGGCACACATGGAGAGCGTGCAAAAGCTGTCCAGGGCCAAATACATCAGGAAAAATGTGTTCGTTGCTTTGTGTTTGGGAGCTGGTGTGCTCGGCGTGTGTATCCTTATCTTGATTGAATTAGAGAACTAGCACAGTTGCACTTGCAGTTTGCACAGAGCGCCCTCATGTGTGGACAGATCTTTGTTCGACTGCGAATCACGTATTTAGGCGGTCGTGTAGTGTAGGGCCCCTGTTTGTTTCGATCATATTAGAATTAAGAATTTTGTTATTCCTAAAAAATGACATTGTCAACCTAAAGCAGACTTCTCTCAATGTAAATTGTAATGACACCTTTTTGGTAATTTTTGAACGGTTTCTTTGGGTAGAAGTTATGATTTTCCTGCGCAGTTTACGGGCCGGTTGGTAACGTGTAGCGCGACTTGCTTGTTCACGGTAGATCCATGAGATATCGTACGGTGATATCGCCATCTTTATGTTCGTGTTGCATTTTGTCGTCATCGTCATTATACCACCAAATTTCCCTCAAAAAATCAAAACCCTGCACTTTATCTAAGACATTCCTATATGTTCTTAATGTTGCCAACTAGTTTGGTAGGTCAAATAATTTAAAAGTGGATTTTGTTCCCGGTCCCTGGTTTCGTATTCTTCCAGAATTGGAAGTTTTTTTACAAACCTTACAGAAAGACCAATTGAAGTTGCTGTAGCAGAAAATTCTTAATTTTTGCGACCTCCCAACTCTCCTGTCGCGAAATGTTCGGCCGCAATATTTCACAAGTACTATCTGGATGTGGATAGGTACCTCTAGGGTGGGTTGAAATCCCTAAAATGTCAAAAAAAGAATTTTGTTCACCAGGATCACAGGAGTCTCGCACTCGGCCGTCTCTCATTGTTTGTCGTCGACTGAGGGCGCTTTAATTCTCTTGACCAACTACAGCGCGGCTTTCATTTCATCGCGCAAGGTACGGATACACTCACATAGGGTTATTCGGGCAAATTTCTGCTGCCATTGTTCACGAAAGCGTCATGCTATAATGACGTCAAGGGTTGTGATAATCGCGCCCACACTAGCTTGCGTCAAATTTTGGCAAAGTGCATCGGTACGGCTGTTGCCTGTCATACAGTATTGGTCAAAAATGCAATTATACATTTGTTTAAGCCATAACACTTGTATTGCATGCATGAACAGTATTCGATCTTTTAAAGCCAGTGCCAAATGTTTCTGTTATATATTCCCTCTTGCTATTCAACTTTGTTCCCTTAACTCTCAAATTATTTGGAACATCTCAGACGGCTACTCGATTTACTCAGTCTCACAAGAAGCCTTCCTTGAGGACTTTGAGGACCCAAACAAGCCCAAGGAATTATGATGTCATCACGCAGAGGTCGAAGGGCATGACCCCAGAATGTAGTTGGATGACCCCTACGAGTTCAGTCTGACTGGAGTTTACCAAAGTTGATGTGTGTTGAACCATATCTGACATTGTCAGTAGCTCAGCTGCATCAGCTCTATGTACAGTTTGTTCAACAGCGCCATCTTGTATCAACTTGTGTCAGATTTCATCATGGACAAAATTTAATTTCTTTTTTGAGTTAATCAAAAGTGACATTCTAATGAAGCAATTATAAAACAGTCAAGAATCTTGACTGTTTTATAATTGCTTCATTGTTACATCTAGCAGGTCATGTAAATTAGTTATAAATCAGTTGAAATGTATCAGTCTTAAATTTAATCCTAATCCCTTGGCATTTTTTTCCCAAATAGCTTCCCCGATTGTCAAAAATCGCCAGTTGTATTCTTAAGTTCTAAATCCATAAAACCATGCAATGCTGAATTTGGTTTTCTATCAGAATTGTGAGGTCGGGATTAAGATGAAAAAAAGATGTTTTGGATGAAACAATTGGTCCTATTGTACATTACTTATTGCATAAGTGCATCTACAATTTCTACATGTACAAAGAAAACGTGCCAGTAAGTTGTCATGCGCTTCTCCTAGTCTTCGTACAAGATTGGATTTAAATTATGTCTCCCTAGAAAGCAGATGATCCCTGGTAAGCGTTTGGGGCAAAAATCAAAATCAGGTCTTGGACTTAGACTTTCATTCTTCTTTCAAGTTGCACAAGACCATTAAACATCCATCCATCCGCCAGTCTGGTTCGATGCTTTTCAAGTCAACTAGTTTCACTGGTCCAAAGATTCTTTAAAAAAGAAAGAATTAGGATGCACCTTCAAACCTTCAACTTTACTGCTATTACATGTAGAACTAAACTGATACTTGTTACTGATGTTTTGGAAGCAAAAATTTATGTTTGTATAAAGATCTATGAGATTCAGATTAGTGTTTTCTATTGCTTTTTGGGGGTTGAGGTTGGAAGGGGGCGGGAAATTGTATTTTTTTTTCATAAAGCTAAATTTGTCAGCTTCTGGGTGTTTAAACACTTGCCGAGAACAATGGACATTTTGTAATAGGTGTCGCAGCACTAGTACTACTTCGCCTTTTGAACATTTCAAAGGTCTTGATTATTCTTTCGAGTAACCCTAGAAAGGGAGTGCTTTTTAGTCCCACTCCCCAGCAATAATTGGGATCGTGAGCAATAGATCCACTTTATACAATTCATGTTAATGTAAAAGAGTGCTGCCTGTAAGATAAGCTTGCCGCAGCAGCAACCTGTAGACCTTATCCACGAGGAAGCCATTTTCGATCGTGTTCCCTGAATCTATCTTATACATTGTAAACTGTTGAACGGGAAAGCGCCAGACTATTTTATGATTGGCGTGCGTTCCAAGCCTCACTTTCAGTTTTTTTCCCAAAATGTGGCTTAAACATTAGAGTACGTTTGTTTACAAGTTTACTATTATTCATCATAGCTGACTGGTATTAATTTGTAATTAATTTTATTTCATTGCTTTCATTTCTAAATGAAGATTTAACCTCGCTTTCAATTTAACATGGCCGATGCGTGAATAAAGTCTATTGTGTCTGGGAAGAGTTTTGTTTCAAATATAGGTTTTTTTTGTATATGTTCTTTTTTAAACAGACAGATGCAGAGTAGAAACTGCATTATTTACAAAGTTTTTGTAGAGGAAATGTCTTCAGCTCTGTCTTAGTCGGGCAAGAATATATTAAAGCCCTGCCATTTGTTTCCACTGAATAAATTTTCTGGGATGAAATCCCAACAACAATGTTAAATTTCAAAAATCAAATGTGTTTTTCTTCAAGTCTTGGATGGAATCATTGGATTGAGAAATATCGTCGTCAACAGGGAATCACTAATTTGCTAATATCCCATATTATTGTTTTCGGACTACCTTTTAATATTTTGTAATTATAAAAAAGTATATCAAGCCAACATCAAATGAAATGTTTTGATTTGCATTTATTTACTACCAACATCCAAACCAAAACTGGTCATTTTCATTTGTACAGTTTACAAGAAACCTACCTACACAATTCAATATCTGTGATGCTTATGCAGATTTACAAGTATGTATGTGAGGCATGAATATAAATTATAATAAACCTGTTCCACATTTTCAGGAATTGAAGTAAATCTCACATTTTTCTTTTCTACAAGTGGCTAGTCCAATGGAATAAAACAGTTGGCAATATATGCTGATCTAAAAGTACACAAGATGTGTTCAGTTTGTAAGATTCTGTTTGATTCAGCGGGGTTACTTTCAAGAGGTTCAAAAGCTTATGGACTGATCTTTAGGAATCTGCTGGCATATATTATAGACCCGTGCTGTGCAAGGGGATATTCTATTGACTAAAAAAAAACAGCATTAAGTTGGAAATTGCCATTTTGCAGTACAATGGGGCAAAGCCAAAATTTGAAGGGGTGGTCTTTTTTTTTTCAGGTGAACCTCAATCTTGAAGTCCTGTTCTACAACTTTTTCCATTTTTGTTTTTTGTTTTGTTCAAACATCTTTAAAACCTCCATGTATTTTCATCCCGTTGAATATTCATTCACTATAATACAACAGCGGCATCTTTAAAATGCCATTTTCTCATAAATTTAACAACTTCAATTTAGTTGGCAGTCCTATTTCTATACCTGAACTCAGTACCCCTAAAGTGTAATAATAACTCATTAGAGATCTCTTGTTCTGCAGAATCCAGAAAAAAATCTCTCTAGAAAGTCTAACTTTACATGTACGTTCATTTTGTAGTGACCAAAACGCGCAGGGAAGAACAAGCAAAATTCAGGTACATTTATATATACATGTATACATTATCAGATCGTCATGAACCTCCAGATAAAGAAAAATGGGTCGTGTCCACATAAATGGCCGAGACCAGCAACGGACTCTGTGAAAGAACAATTTATGTCGCTACTGGTTCGTGTGCGCATTGCATGAACTTTGGGTTACGTCGGCAATGTGTTCCAATGTCTCTCCCAGTGGTCACCCCCAGCTCTCCCTTTGTAACCGTTGAGGGGGTACTTATGCAGAGTCCATTTCCATAGAGTACCAAAGTGAATACATCACACGCAAAATTTTGTGTGTATACTTAAAAAGACATTAGCGCGCGATTCAGCCCGTGAACCAACATGCATGCGTACTCCATTCATTTGCACTACATTTCCCGGTTCTAAATGACGTCACACTTCGGTACTCTATAGATAGCCATATTCATTGTATATAGCTCTATTCATTGTATGAATTGTATACGGTTAAAAGGGTCGTTCAGATGCTTGTTGGACAAGAATCCAAATTGGTTTCACATTTCAGTCCTCGATGTTAAAGTTGGGATGGACCACCAGTAGTGGGTCTTTTTCCTCCACAATGCCTTCGGCCTGTGTGTCTCCCTTGCGCTGTGTCAGTCCCGTCTTGACGAGCTCTATCATGATGTTATCCTGAAATGAAAAGATAATGCAAAAAAAGTTAGTTCTGACCATTTGAAGTCAACCCTGCAACCGATTTCACAAAACAGCGAGTAGTTACCACATGCTTAGGATTTACACAACAATAAACTTATGCAATCAATTTACAATCAACTTCACGAAACTTAGCAAAGAAAATGATGTGCAACTTGTGCAAAAAAATTTGGCATAAATTGAGTTAAGCCATTACACACAGTTTCGTTGAATCGGCTGCTGGTGTTGTAGATTTTTAATTACAACATCTATACTGATCACTCCCATCTATGACCAAGTGGTTCTTCATTGCAAACATTCTGTAACATTGAGTCCCTTGTGAAGGCTTTCAGGCAACGTCGTGTATAGCGAGTACCTGTACTACACCACATAGGTGTGCTTTCAGGGTACAGGGCCAAGCAAACTTTTTAAAATTCTTTGTTCCTTATTTGAGTAACCAATTGTTCTACTGATGTCACAGACACAAGCAAAATCCACAAAAATCTTAAGCTAAATGACTAGAATGTACCCAACACAGTTCCCAGAATAAGTTAAAAACTCCAGGATATTTTTTTTTTCAAATGTAATTTTGTATATGGCAGTTGTGTTCCGAACAAACTCGACTAGGGCATTTCAAATATTTGAATATTCAATCAAGTCCAAGTTAGAATAATCGAATACTCAATTATTCCAAATGCACAGCCCTATCAGTGACTAACCTTCTGGATCAATCGGTCCAGGATCTTGTCCAGTTTGTGCTTGAGTTCTATGAGCTGGGCCTCCGTCTCGATCTCTCCTTCCTTTTCCTTGTAGTCCAGGTACCAGTCGACTAGAGCGCTGCGACGCACACCCTCGAAGCCTTCCTCTGCATAACAAAACAAAAAGAAGAATGTAAAGAAAAAAAAAGGGAGAGGGTAAGCATGCAATAAAAAAAAATGCTAGCCGCATTGTAAGCTCACAAGCTTTAAAAAAAAACCTCGCTTAACAAAGTCAAATGCTCAGCACAAATCAGCTAAGACTTGTGAAGCTGGGTCTATGGTGGATTTACGTCACATGCACGCATCATTCTTTTCAAGAAACTGACAAATATGGGCAAGACCTGGACGTGTGAAGTGGACCAAACATTCAACTTTATTTTAAGTCTAAATGTAATGATTGATTATTTCATTGTGACCTCGGAGGCTACTATTCCAGTTCAGTTGTTAATTTTTCCGAATGACGGAAAAGCAGTCAATTTCAAAGTTGGTCTATATGGCTACAGCTTCTCACTGTGTCATACTGTGTCAATTTCTTATACCAAAGCCATAATCTCACGACTGGTTGATGCCACGTGAGGATCATGAGGTGAGTAAGCGTTTGATTAGCCTTGCCTCGGTGGCTTAACCCCATCGGCGTTTATCCGAGTCAACTCCGGAAAGCTACTCGAACACACCCATTGAGAGACAGCCCAATGGTTCATGCTCAAATATGGCAACAGGCCAAGTTGGTAAATGGTCTAGTTCCCAACCTACCTTCTTTCTCCTCCTGGTGTCTGACGTACTTGGCCAGCAGCCTAGCCGTGGCCTTGTACTCCGCAAAGGGCACCTGGATGGTCTTCTTCTTAGCAGGGGGCTGTTCTGGTTCCTTGGTGGGCGTTGCCGTCGTGTCGGTTTCCATGGAATTCTCCTTATCCTCTGGTTCTAGTTCTACAAAGAAAGAATGAATCACAAATCAAGCAGAGACTTTTACCACTGGTTTATACAGGTATAAACCAGTGAGCAAATGCAAAGCGAATCTGACGCATGACGGATTCATAGTAAAATTCTCTCCAGAGTTGAATATGTTCAAGTTTTACAAATTTGCAGCACGAATACTCGTCATGGTGTTGAAGTTTGTGTATGCTTTTGTGCTTAGTGAGAGCGGGCCTTGAAGTTGTTCAGATAAAGATCAATGAAAATAACACTAAGTACTTATTTCAATCGAATTTTTTGGGTATAATTTATCCGAGACACTTGGTACCTAACAAGTATATGAACGGCTGATGTATTTCTAATTTCAAGCATTTGTAATTGCCAATGTTTCAAGTAGTGGCTTTGACCCTTCCAAGTTTCACGGCACTGCTAAGAAAACAAATTTTCTTCCGATGGAGGTGTTGTCCATTTCACTGAGAGATGGCAATACAATCAGGGATAAAGCAAAACTAATGAGATCGACAACCTCATGACTTTAATAGGCATAAAGTCGCTATGAAAATTATTGTTGTTGCGTTCTGAATCCCGCAAAGTCAAGGGGCCTGTGGCTCGGTCTGTATAAATGTTGTCCCAACGGGGTGAAAAAAAGATTAAAAAGCAAAGGTCTGCGAATCGCTGGAAATTGTTTCTCGTTTATCTCATCTCACCTGGCTCCATGTCCTCTTCTTCCTCAAAGTTTATGACGGGTTGTTCCACTCGGATGATGGACTTGTTGAGCAGACGGAACGCCTCCTTGACGTGCTTGGGTTGGACCTGTTTGTGATACAAACAAAAACAGACAGCATTAAAAAGAATTCTTGGAAGGACAAACGTGGCGCTAGCTCAAGCAATCAGAACTCTTGTAACTTCATTGTTACTGTAAAATCACGGATGGTCAGAGAAGTACAATAATTTCCAATTCAAAAGGAAAGGAAACGGAATAAACAGACTTCCAGTTTGTGAAAAGAAAAAAATAGCTTTGAGACGAACCATACGTAGTACACCTTGTACAAGAGGGGAAAGATGACAAAAATATAGTTAAATACCTCATCCTGACAATGAAGCCTGGCCATTGCCTCAGACAGACGGATCATACTCTCGAGCTGTCTGACGGTGATCCTCCACGACGACATGGTGCCCCCCGAGGAATCGCGCTGGCGCAGGCGACGATATTCCTCCACCATGAAATCCTGCGACTCCTTCGTGATCTGTGCAAAATAACAAGACGAGTCTCCAGCTTAGTAGAGCTGGTCCCAGAGTGCACACAATTCTATGCAATTGATTCCGAATGGCTAAAAAGTTTGTGGAATACGCTGTAGTCGTATTGTAGTGGAAATGAAAGGTACAGGACTGCCGTTCGCACACGTATCACGTAAAAACATGAAACAAGCGGCGCCAGACTGTTGCACGTGTGGTGAAGATGCTACATCACATACATGAATAGCAAGCCTGATAACACTACACCCAGACGAGTGTAAATCACAAGAGACAGTCAGTGAGATAGCTAACCAGTCTAAATCACAAGTGACCAGCAAAAATTTGGAATGAACAATTCTAGACGAAGAGCACCATGTTATTTCTGAAGATGTTTATTAAGATCTTAAGGACTGTGCCCATGATATAAAAAAAGTTGAAAACTGAGTAGTTGCTCATTGAAAGTTTTGGGTTATGCATTTCTTAAAGGCATATACCTCTACAAATCATAAACAAACAAAAATCACCTTTGAGGCAAAATGTTTGTATGAATTTTTACACCATATTTTACGATCACCAATTTGCATAAGTTCTGCCGTGAAGCATGAAATGCTTCAATAGCCCTTTCCATCGTATCAACAATTTAAAAGCACTTTACAATTATTTCCCCGTTTGATAGGCCACGAGACCACGCGGCAACCGATATCTGTGCACATTCGGCCTGTACCCTCAAAGGTACCCATTTGTACTCCTGGGTGGAGAGAGGCAATTGTAGTACAGTGTCTTGCCCAAGGGCACAAACACCATGTTCCTTGAAGGGTTTGAACCCACGTACCATCGTACATTAGCCAAACACCATACCCACTGCACCATGGCATTCTACATCTAATTTTGACAAAACACTTGACCTAACTTCATGTCACATTTTGAGTGGCATTTTGCATCATGTTCGTTAATTTTCACTAACAGCACTGCCACTCCATTTGATGTAACAATTAAGAGACAGTCATTTTGAAAGCATGAGAATTCAGTCTATTGATGAAGCACACACCTTGGGTTTGAACTGTTTTGCAAACATCAGATATCGTTGGATGTCTTCCACGCAGTAGACTCGCTCCACCGACTCCTTGTTCCTGGCGTGGAGATCGACAATCCGACGAGCGATGGCATAGTCCGTCACCTGCCCACAAAGGATGGATTTTAATTTATTGCAAACAAGTTTTAGCAGAGTTTCGAGTGTCACGCTCTAAGAGATGTCGACAACAAACTGAAGTTATTCCTTCAGACCACGATTACCGTAAGATGACCGTAGTCCAAATTTTTTTTAAACAAAATCCCTTTTTTACCCAGACTGGGACTGGGTTGAACAAAGGAAATCAGTGATCTTACCTCATTGCATTCATCAATGAGGATGAAGAACAGATCAAATCTTGACATGATGGGGGCCGTCAGGTTGATGTTCTGTTTGAGTGGTTTCGCCCGGTCGTACCGCCCGCCTATGGGGTTGGCTGCAGCTAGGATTGAGGTACGGGCATTCAGCGTCGCCTGCAAGAGAAAAATGTCCAGCGTAGGCGGTTAATTTTGGGTTCTCTTGATATAGTTGAGAGGGTAAACCAATTCTCTTCCCCTGCCATGCCTTTATAGAAAGGCCAGTCACCAACAGTCAGATCACATTTCTAGTAAGCACATGTGACTAGCCAAATTCCATCAACAGACAAAATCAGGAAACTGGTAGGTACAGCTGGCTTATCAATCATCTATAGTCAAAGAATAGCTGTATCAAGTTACATAAACTGTCACAGCCAGTTAATCATGCTTTATATGTAGGCAGGGATAACTCAGCTGTTAAAAACAGTCACACTCAACTGTTTAAAAAGTCTTGATTTTGACAACTGGGATGGCTTTGTTGAATTTGCCAGCCAGAGAGGGAGGGTTACCCCTAATTACTACATGTAGTAACTGCATTACATTGTATTTTCCCCCTAATGAACCTGGAAAAACAATTCGCAACTTTCATTTTCACGAAAAGAAAACCTGAAACTTTAAAGGCCTTTTGCTTAGTATTTTATTCTTTGTCATGTTGATAAATGCGAACATTAAACAGCCATAACTTGTCAACGGAATGTCCGACAGAACTGCAACAAACAGTATTGCAAGGAGAATTTTATTCTCTATCCTGATACCCGCAAATGCTAATTTTGACCTCTGCCCAGTTTTGTCTCATTTTACCAGAACGCCTCACATTTTAGCTCTCATTGGTCTATGGACACCGTGTCTGAACACAAAATGGATTTTTGTGAACACTTGAAAGTGGTTTGTGCGCATATTATGTGGAGGAAATGCAAATGAGTTTCGTTGGTATGCTCACAAGCCCGTAATGTGTTAGTGCAAAAATTTAAAGTAAAGTCTGTACATCTGGCCGGGGTTTATCTCCATTGGCATGAAACGACTGAGTATACCTCTATTCCCCCTGGATGGGATATGCCAGTCTATAGCAGCTAATACCAGTACCTGTTTATACTCCTGGGTGAGGAGAAGCAAGTGGCAGTGAAGTGGCTTGCCAAAGGACACAATATACGGCCAGCAGCTGGATTCGAACCCCTGAACCTCTTAACATAAGTCACGAACCCTGACCACTAGGCCACACTCCCCCTGCGTCTTAGTGCGGGCACCGGCAGGTGTCTGTCCGTCTCTCTTTTGCACCGTTAAGGGGGGTATTTGGCAAGTTGAGTTTCCCCCGTCTCACTTACCCTGACTCCAGCCTTGGTGATGGAGATCGTCTGCTGTTCCATGGCTTCGTGGATGGCCACTTGGTCCTTGAGATCCATCTTGTCAAACTCGTCGATGCAACACACACCCTAGAAATTGTCAGGAATCAAATCAACATACGGATCAAATTTAATTTTTCTAGAACTATCTTTGTGAGTCTTTTAAGATTTTGAATTCTAATACTTCCAGTCATTAATGATATCGCTTCAAATTTAAAATTGGAAATCTAAATGGATTGACTGATATTTTTTTCAGAAAATTTGAGGTAAATATTCATGCCAATGCGTAATCTGCAATTTAAAATTAGCAAGACATCCTGCAAAGTGCTTCATATATTATCATTTTTAACTAACGAATGTGACATGAGGAAAAAACTGACCAAACCCAAATAATAAACACTATAACTAGGCATAGTTTCGATTAGGGGACAATTGAGTTTACTGATCGTTGAATAATAATTTAGCTTGCACATGTGAGTGTAGACAATCCCTTGTTTAACTACCGTCAAAACATTCCAATATTTTTAAGGTTCTGGCTCCCCTCTGTATATTGTGACATGCATGCTTGACGATTCATAATTTGCGTTATGATCAAACTCGATAGTCTGGTCCCTAGTAGTATACTAGACAAGTCCAACTATCATCTCCCAACATGCCTTCAAAGGCAGAAGTCAAACCACAGTTAACCCTGATTGCCCATTGAACTTGCCATGACCCGCAACGATCTCAACTTTGAACTTTGCCTTTTGAACTTACATTATCGGCCAGCATGAGAGCGCCCGCCTCGATGACAAACTCGTGTGACTCCTCGTCTTTGACGACGGCGGCCGTCAGACCAGCCGCGGTGCTGGCCTTGCCACTGGTGTAGACAGCACGGGGGCTGAAATCCTCCACAGCCCTGGCAAGAAATGAAGCAAGAATGGTAGAAAAACAATGGGCTCTCAATGACTCACGTGACCCAGCCTACAACCGGGTACCGGAAAGTCAGCGTCGCCATTGCAATTCTAGTAGTAGTAACATTTATTTCAATGATGTCATTCATTACAATTATGTACAAACATGTATACATTAGAAAAAGTCACTAGTATAATATTAGATAGTTATGTACCCAGTGATTAATTATAAAGTGTGAAATTAAATGACAACATTTAGGTATAAGGTTAAGCAGAACGCTTTTGTGCCCTTACCTTTGGACAAACATACGACCAAAGGACAAACAAAACAATACGTGAGACAGACAGGACAAGCGTGAGACAAGGCCTAAATATTAATACACAAAATAATGGAATTTCAATTTAAGAATATGATTCGAGAAATTGAGTTTTTAAATTTTTGACAAAGACAGATAGTGAAAGTAACGATTTAAGAGTATCATCTAAACTATTCCAGTACAAAGTGCCTCGGTGAATAACACTATTTTTTGACATTGACGTTCTGTTAAATTGGACAAACAAATTTCCCCTAGCACTACTTCGAGTATTATATACATGAACGTTAGATGCTAAGGTAAAACAAGTAGGCAAACATCTTATAACACCGTGCACAGTAGGTAGTAGGCAAGCCTTCAAAGCTTAGACAGATGGCAAAACCTGTGAGAAACACTTAGAGCCAACACCCAGTGTTATGTCGGCATGATTATGGCAACCGTACATGGTACAGGTATTCCATTAGATAAAGAATTTGAAAATGTGAAAATAAGTCCAAATGTCCAATTTATTATTATTATTATTTATTTCGCCATTCAACAAGGCAAAATGTGCACACATACATGTACAGTCACTCTTCAAACTATTTAATTTGTTGTGGCTCTAGATCATCAGTCTGAAAAGGGTGTATAAGCATGATTAAGAAAATCTGAATGTGTCAGATGTGATTTAATTTCAGCTCAAACATGGCATTTATTTGGACACCTACTTCAGGAACTGGCTTTTGGCCGTGCTGGGGTCCCCAACGATGCAGACGTTGATATCCCCACGTAGGCTGGTGCCTTCCATTGTGGTCTTGGGAACGCCGCCAAACAACATCAGTAGAATACCACGCTTGATCTCATCACTTCCTGCAATATTTAAGACAATTTTACTGGTACATTTCAAATGATCAATGTTATTGTCAATCAATATTGACTAATTTTGGAAAAGATCCCAACAGGCACGTTCTAAAAAACAGTTTCCCTATTATTTTTGGTTGAAATTTGGGAAGTAGCTAAAAAGGTTTTGAGTACTAGCATTCCGGAAAGTTTATTTACAATGGTTCCGAAAAACTGACGTCAAAAACTGAACAGTTGGATCACTGTTCTCTGATTATTCTTAAGAAGAGCAAAATAAGTCTGAAGAAACAAGACTTTTCCCTAAAACATGCAGTAAACTGTTCCAAAATGAAAAGTTACAAACAATCCCTACCCCCCCCCCCAAGAAAATAATTTTAATGCTGAGCATCAAATGAAGCAATAATATTGATTAAGGACACAAGCACCATTTCCTATGAGTGCTTAATGCAAATCATAAGATCCGACCATTAAAATTCTGGCCAACAATAACACTGTTTGCGGACAAAGGTGAGCCTTTATAACCAAAATTCCCCTTGGCATTTTTTGCACACAAACCTTTCCAAATTTTCAAAAAAATGTCTGAAAAACCATCGATGGCACTTACTTTGTAATCTTAAACTTTCGAGAGGCCACGTGTAAAGTAATACTGGCTGGCCTCTACCTCCCTCGATCCTACAGATCAAATTTTTAATGACTTCTCAATAACTACATCTTAGGGCACGTTTGGGCGACGACTATTGTGAACCGTATTTCGTCTAATTTTACTTGAAGGCAGGATGAATGGACTACTCTTGTCGACCAGTTGGAACCGGACCACAGGGCATGGTTGCATTGCTGGTTACCAACAGCTGTGCGCATCATAATGCACAACAGGGAGCCAGGATCAACAAGTTTTGTGATGATGTTTTTACCGACACTTTTTACCAACGTTTGACAAGAGACATTTGCACATTGCTATGAGTGCTCAGGCATAAGTTATGTCACAAATTAACCACTTGTTGACTAATGGTCATTGACCGAACTTGCCCCAGCTTATGTCAAGTTGAGTGGCAACTCAGTTAGCAAAATGTATTACTAAATGCATGTTGTGCGCAGGCGTCGGCTAAATGCAACTCAAAAAAGGGAGTCACAAAAATTACGTCTAATAAATACTTCAAACCCTAAGATGGATTTTGAACGATCTGGTAGGGTCAGATTCTGCTGTCTGGTATCCCAGCTCATTCAAAATAACTTACCATGGATGGTGGGGAAGAGACTGGTGATGATGTTATGGTACAGGTTCTTATCCTGGCTCATCTCGTAGACTTTCTGCCATTCCTGGTCCGTCATCTGTTTCTTGATGGCCTCAGCTGTTAACTCATCCCCTCGCATGTCTTTGCCTCCAAACTAGACAAGCAAAAACAGGTTTAAACGTTCCGGTTTAGATATGGTAAATCACCCCGACAACAAAATTAATTTCATGTTTTACTCCAAAATATAGTTTAGTTTTTAAAGTTGCTATTATTTCTCACAATGTAAAAGTATTCACTTTTGAATCAGACAATGAGCAAAAAACCCCCAAAAAACAAAACAAATAAGAAAAATGGCCAATGCTTAATTATGTAATGATTATTTCACAAGTTTTGGATTATTTGCTGCCTGACAATATTACTCAGTCACGTGCAAGGAGGAGTGGTTCCTGCTGCCTTATCAATATCGAAAATATAGTGACCAGGAAGTGGAAACCAGCCTATTCCAAGAGTACAAAAACAAATGTAGACTTTTCCGTCTACTTTTTAGTGGATGGATGTTATGTAACTTTCAATTGACATTTCTAACAAAGCTTGTGATTGCATAAAGTTATAACGCTTACCCTAGGGTTGGAAGGGGTGACGTTACAAGCGAGGAAGGCTAGTCTGTAAGACAGGTCCCGGACTCCTAACGCCTTCAGGCCGCGCACGCCCTCATGGTCGTATCCCTCGCCCCCTTTACTCCGTGTGGAGGTCTCCTGCTGTGCACCTAAGGGGGGAAGGGAAAAGAGAATTATAAAAATTGACAGCGTTCCAGAGGTCGCCAGTTCGAACCCCGCTCTAGTCTTTTTGTTCAACTTTACAAAGAATATATACGCATCTACACAGTTTCCTTTGTGCATTTAGAGATGTGCTAAATATACCAAATATTTGAATACATCAATGATCAACCGTATATCCGAATTGCATAATTATTTTTATTCAAATATTAAAAAAATGTGAGCTGTCACAAGGAAATAAAGAAAAACGTCCACGACGCTATTTTAGGTTTTTTGCCCTTCACCATTATTTTAATCATAAAGTTGTATTGTTTTGTTTGTCAAATGCCACACTTTTATTGACAGCAACTTCGGAGCATGATTTCAGAGTTTCCATGAGGACTAAAAGCTCAAAAGTCTTCTTTAAAATCATTTCGGTCCCAATTTGTTGCAATATTTTAAAAAGCTTTGTCAATTTCTGATTAGCGCAGACTTACAAAAAGCCAGATCGGCGGCCAGTTTAGGCTGGGCTCATGTTTAACTTGATCAGTGTGTTTCGAAATTGAATATTTAAATATTGATTAGGTCCAAGTTGGAATAATCAGATACTAAATTATTCAAAATATGCACTGCCTTAATTTATCTCATGATTCATTTTCCAGTTTATACGGCAATTTAAAAATTTATTAAATGGGAGTTTCCTTTTTTGTTAACATTTCATCACAGGAAGAAGGTCCCATTAACATACTGAGTCTATTTCAAATTAGACTTCGTTTGGAAACTGTGCTATCAATAACTGACCTGGGACCGATAGCTGGGCCACGTCGGGTACCACTATCAGGGTACCGGTGAAGTCACACTTGTCACCAGCCTGGGGTAGTTCTACGGCCTCCGCCCGCAAAACGATCTCCACGCTGTAGAAAAAGATGCGAAAAAAAAATATCCTGTCAAATTTGAGATCTAAATAAGTATGTTAAAGTTGGTGGTATGCTTTGGACATTGGCAGTACTTTACAAACTTTGCTTAAATTAGAAGATTTATTTTTCTGACATATGAATGGAAGGAATGCCAGATTCCCTCCCCCAAAATAATGGAAAAGTCAGAATTCCGGCTTAAGCCGGAAAAATGGCACCCTTTAGTTTCTTTCCTTGTATTCTGAAAGATACAATTCCCTCTGTCCGTGGACTTCGGTTCTCGACCGAAATTGACGTACCTTCGTGGGATGCTTCCCCTGGGCAGCTCGGCCTGCGTCTCTTGAATGCGCACCTTCTGGAAGTCCACAAAGCGGGACTTGTTGGTATCCAGCATAAACCGGTTCCGGTTGTTGCAGACGGGATTGCGACAGATTGTCGGCTGTGTACAAGGAAAAACAACAGAATTCATTTCCATTTAGTAAGTGAATGGGTTAGCCAGTTTAATCAACTGGCAGTACCCAAAACACGTCGAAAATAATACCTCAGCAGCATACTGAGCTAGTCGCGGCATAACAACTAGTCAACTATTTAGAAATTGACAGTCGTGACTACCAATGCTTTTCAGCGTTGGCGAATAGTTGCACTAGTTGTACACGCATACTTACCTGTGTGTATTTGAATTGTTGCTCGACATCTTTGATGACCGTTTGGCAGTCGAGGCAGACAAACGTCCCGCTGACCAGCTCGGGATGGACAGGATGAGTCCGGACCACTTGACCACTGATGCGGACAATGGTGCCTATCTTAGCTGTACTCAACTCTCGCACTCTGAAAATCAATGCATTGATAGAATGCAAATCATTTCAAATGTTATTTTTTGTTCTCTCTCAAAATTATTCCCTTCATATTTTAAATCGATATTATCAATGGTATATATCTTATGAATACTTCATTATTTTGGAACTTTCTTGTTTGTTGGAAGATGTGACATATCAAGGAGTCAAAAAGGAAATTGAATCTGTTGGTCTAATAGTTACGGTGTTCAACCCATGGTACTTGGGTTCGAACCCTGACAGGGAACATGGCGCTTGTGTTCTTAGGCAAGACACTTTACTACTTCTGCCTCTCTCCACCCAGGTAGTATAAATGGGTACCTGTGAGGGAAGCAACTTGATAATGCTGACCTCGAGCTGCTGCAGAAATATGGCCTCCTGTCCTGATGGACATAGCGCTTTGTATCCTTTGGCAAAGGCGCTTTATAAATATCAGTTATTATTTATTTTAAAACCAGGATGTCTTACTTGTGTCTAGTTGGGACATCCTCAAAGGCAACGTAGAACTCTTTGGATGGGGGAATCTGGCTGCGATCTCGGGCAAAATTCCTGACGGCCGTGCATAAGTAGGGGTAGACTCTAATAAAGAAAACAACAACAGGAAAATATTGTGATCAGAATGTATAGGCTAGTGCGGACATCCAGAATCTTCTGAAATCTCCTCATTTTGTTCCCATCTGGACCCACATCCATCAAACTGAATGGTTCTAGAGTTTGGAGTGTGGAATGGTAACACATCGCAATGGGTGAAAACACACGTGCCAATGAAAAGATGATTTCAACGGCTACTGTAATCCCATGCTACCCTATAGAAACTAAAGGCGGAAAGAATGTTGCTACCTGACGCTACTTCAGCGGTTGTGTACAAAGTCTATGAAGAGTGTGTACAAAGTCTATGAAGAGTCTAGAAAATTTTCTAAGTATTTCCTAAAAAAATTGGAAAAGTTTCTCAGTCCCAGATTTATGTCTTATCATTTTTGCAATGACTGACCTTCATTGAGATGATATATGAAGGAAAAAGCAGGGTCAGGTTGCAACATTCTTTCTCAAAAGGCTTCTTTTTTTAATGTTTTGTGACAAGGTGATAGATTGGTTGTTTTGCTTTTGGACTTGTTTACCTGTAATATTCCTCTTGGATTGTTGTGGCCAGTTGCTGGTTATAGTGTTGAATATCCTCAAAGCTGACGGTCAGCGTGTTCCTCTCCGGTCGGATCAACTCCTCAACTCCTTGTTGATACTTCAACTCGCCATCCACAGTAAATCTAAAAATAAAGTAAAAACAGCTAGGAAATTGAGCATAAGGAATTTGCCATTTGATAAATTTTGTACAATTGTTAACACAACAACATGATCAACAACAATATTATTGTCAATAACTTCACTGACCACACTTTTATTTGATGGCTTGGTTCATCAATGTTCATACTATTACTAACGTCAGATGTTAGGCTGTGAATTGGCCAAAGTTGGACACATTTCAACTCTGCAAATTTCTGCACTTGTTTAATATGTCATGTATTTATAGGCTTAATGTTGGCATTAAATTTGTTTTTCACATGTTTTGTGAGAACTAGGCCTACAACGTGCAGGTCACATGTCTCTTACTGCAAAAAAAAGTGGTAGGAAAGTCACATTTTCTTTGAAAGTGCATTTCAAAATTACAACAAACATGAGTTAATCTGAAGAAAAAGACTGCTTTAGAAAGTCACATTTTCTTTGAAAGTGTGTTTTAAAATTGGTAGTGGATATTTAGCCGGAGACGGCAAACCTTTAGTAAATGTTAGCTTGCCGGATATGCACTGAACATGCGCAGTTACTGTTTTTTTTTTACTTAGACATTTTCCGGTGACAAATTTTAGTCTGGCTCCATGCCAACATTTTCGTTGTAACTTCGTGTTCAAAAGATGGGAATCAGACCATTTTACAATTTCGGACTTTATTTCCCTTTAAAATAATCCTCCAAAGCCACAATTCTGAAAAAAAAATGTAATACTCTGCAATAAAATGTTTGAGACATGTTAAAATAATGAAAGAAGGATATTCTTATTTTTTGGGGAGGGGGAAAAAACCTTAGAAATGTCGCCAGCGGGGATCGAACTCGGGTTCTCCCACTCATGAGATCCGTTGCTTATCCACTAGACCACAGGTGCTACACAACCGTTGCTGGTAATTTAATATATCTTATAATTCAGCCCTATCTTAGAGAGTACAGCGCCCTCTGTTGATAGGGATTGCCGCCGGCAAACCTTTAGTAAACGTTAGCTTGCCGGGATTACCGCCGGCAATATATCCACTATCTTCAAAATTACAACAAACATGAGTTAATATGAAGAAAAAGACTGCTTTAGCCTGCAAAAGTCACTTTAATAGACCCCTACTTGACAGTCACCTGCAAAAACAGACAATGACAGAACTCAAAAAAGAGGTGTCCTAAAGATAAGGATAGCATTGGAGCTGGAGTTACTCAAGCTACCAGTAGGCCTATATGTGCCTGAAAAAATATGAAAGTGAATATCATCACAAACTTAAACTTGACATTTTGTTTAAAGGGAATATACATCATTTGCTTTTGCTGTAATTTTCAGAAATGGATGGAATTGGGGGGTTGGAAATATAAAGCAAATATAGATGCACTAACTTTTTGAAGGTTTTGGGTTTGAAAATGCTATAAAAACCAAGAAAAACGATCATTTTCCTGTAGTCTGGTTCCCTGACTCCATATAAGAAGAAACAGAGCAGTTTACATACATTGGGGAATTGTAAGGTCAGGGAACCAGTCTAGCTGGCTCGTACCCGTTCATAGGTTTGTAATCGATTGCAAACAAGTGCAATGGTCAATTGGGGCCGGTATTTGAAAAAAAGCCAGTTGTTTCCAACGCTGATCGGCCGATCAGCGTTGGAAATTGATACAAAAATACCATTTTTCTTGAAAATGACAGTATACCAGGTGCCATAATTTTACAGGATGCTTTAGACTGTCATTTACCAACATCCTATTAAGGTTTTTCGCAAAAACTTGGTAGTTTTGTTTTTCGATGTTTGCAAATGTTGTATATTCCCTTTAAATCCAATTCAATCATGTCAATTTCCCCAGCACACGAATCACAATGACACAAAGTCACACAACAAACAATCGAAACATGACAAATTCACGAGAAAAAGAAAGTCAACTCACTCCTCCAAAAAGTCCTGAAATAACTTCTGGCACTTCTCGGAAACTGCATCTTTAACCTGAGCAATACCAGTTCTCTGATCGGCGACATCCATTTTGGTAAATTCCGATAGGAATTCCAGCAATAAAATCACGAAATAAGTCGCTCAAACTCCACGTACGGTTCTGCACACATGCGGCGCAGCAGGGATCTACACAACATGTATTATCGCACTTTCGCGCCAGCTGACCATGTGATGTTTTTTAAAGTTGGGTATTTAAACCATATACCCTCTACAGTAACCAAACTAATCCCGTATTTTTTATTATATAAAACAATTAAAAGGTAAACAAAGAATCTTATTCTAAAACTAAATTAAAACAACTAATGGTCTGTGTAATATACAACATTAATTATGTATTATTGAAAAGAAAATATAATATTTGTAATAAATAAAAGAGGGAGTATGGTTAGTAATTGCAACAGCAAAGCGCGGCAAAATTGTCCAGATTGTTGCCGTTGATGGCGCTTTCTGTAAACAACTTCCGTCGTCTGTTGTCATTTTCTGGCATAATTTTGAGCACTTTGACTGTTGAGTGTTGGTCTAACTTTTTTGTCAATCTAATGTAATGGAGGGTGGATTTGAAGCGAGTCTTGTTACTGCTTTGAAAGAAGTGGTGGACATCAGTAGATGGCGATGCGTAGGTCACACAGATCTCTACAAAGGGAAGACTTGCACACGGTAAAATCATTTGGAAAGAAGAAGAGTGTCCAGACGCCACTTTGTTTGTGTACAGAATCAAAGTCTATGGAGAGTCGAGTGTGTTTTTAAAGTATTTTCTAACATCAAAATTGGAAATGTTTCTCAGTCCCAAATTCATTTTTTTTCAACATTTTAATTACAATGAGTGACCTTTATTGAGATGATATACGAATTACAATGAAAAAAAAATGTTGTCAGATGCAACATTCTTTCCTGAATACAGAATAGGCCCCTACTGCCCTAGGTGTTTTTTTGTGTGTGTGTGTCACTGATCTCAATTATAAAGACTGGATAGCTAATAAAGAGCCGCACAATGTACGAATTTGACGCCATATTGGTGAGACCGGCTGGTGATCTAAAAAGGACAAGTTGCCGTCTTTATAGACGGCATGCTTTCTTTTGTAACGTCGCGGTTCACCTGACTTGTATTTTGACCACCACGACCAACTGACCAAGGTTTACTACAATTTTTCTAACGTGGTGGTTACTTTTATAATGTCGCAAATCACTTTTCCGGCGTTTTTGAAATAACAATCACTACGGAAATGTGTCCCTTTTAGAACATCATTATGTGTACGTGACCAAAATGCGCGTCAACTGTTGATACAACGCGCGCGTATTTACGCGTAGAACGTTCGTATTATGCGCGGCCATCTTCGTGAGACCGGGGGCGAATTGGTCAATATGCAAAGTCTACTGTGTGAATGTTGTATGCATATCCGCTATCCAGTCATTATATAGAGATCAGTGGTGTGTGTACATGATCTCTCACAGTCTCAGTCTCAACTTTTTGATTGACAAATGAAAATTTATTGTGACTATACTAATTCAGGTGTTCTTAAAGTTCTCCAGGCCCGGAGGGGGGAGAGAACAAATGTAAAGCAGTAAAATGTCCTTAAAAACATCAAATTTAACAGGGAAAATATTGAAGCATTAACTGAGAAAACACTTACTGACTTAGAATTTTTCAGACCAGTCTCATAGGGTTTGTGCACAGGGTGTCAAGTGATGTCCAGGCACGGTCCTCCAGGCATGGAAATCTTTTCAAGAAGTCTATAAATTATTATTAAGACAACTGAGATTGAATATCAATGTGTTATGGATACAATAACAACAATGACTTTGTGACTTTAATACCTTGGAATTGAGCTTAAACTTGGAATTGAACTTGAATTGAATATCTCAGGCCTCAGCCTAGGCCTAGTAACAATTTTGGCAAAAAGTCAATGTCTAATGAAGATTATTTTTGTTACCATGGACAAAAATGTACCACTTACTTCAAACTTGGAAAATCATCAGCACGCCATTCTATGTATCTGTGTAATTTGCTCACGATGTGGCGATTTTTAAATATTTAATATAGCCAAAAGTACATGTAGGGTACAATACAAAAGTAAAACTACATGTATTCGAGTATGAGAAATTTTGGGAAGATTGACTGAAAGTTAACCATTGGAGAGAATTTTTGTCTGTTGATATGCATAAAAAGTTCCAACAATGAATATGTTGATATTTTAACAGATTTCAATTCTGTTGACAGGTTATATTCTCTTGGACAAGAAGAAGATGTGGTCATTGTCAGACTGGCTCCGGACAAATTCTATGCACTGGGTGCTGACTGCCCCCATGAAGGTATGTGATGTACCTGTTAGAAGACCAATCCATAAGCGTGCCCCTTGCTGTTTTTAACGTCTGACAAGAACAGCATGCTTTCAAAAACGTTGAAGTCCACATATGCAATGGGCGGAGCTGAATGGATCGGTTACGTGTAAGACAGAACCCATGAACCCTCGGAATGATGCATCGTGGATGCATCATGTCCATTAAGGCCATGCACGGATTTGTTTTCATTCACAAAAGTAATCGTGCTTACTTCGCGCATACGCACGTGAACCCTGCACGTGTGTCCCTCCCACTGTAGCACTCAAAAGTGAACACAAAATGCCATGCTAATGCTTTTGCATGGAGTCCATATTGCAAAATAACTTACAAGCGTTACTCTGAGCAAGCTATCCGTGAACAAACACAATGTAATGCAATGCTGTACAGTTGTTAATGGGTTAACCTTAACCACCTAGGCCATTTTTGATGGGATCCATCCTCAGTACTTCAAAATCCTCCAACTGCCACTGTGTCAAACTTGGATACAGCCTCAATCCTGTAAAGTCATCAAAAACCGCCTGATTGATTTTGGAGGATTGAGGAAGGTTTGGGTAAAAGCCTAAAAAAAAAAGTTCTCTTGAAGTTTCTTTAAAACAGCTTGTATTTCATTAACTAATCAAACAAAACATTTACCAGACTTCACTCTTTTATTGGAAGATATGTTTCATCCTTACGCCACTTTTTTTCATCACATATTATCTCAACGAAGGTCAGTAATTGCAAAAATGTTGAAAAGACATACATTTGGGACTGAGAAACATTTTAGAATACACTTTGAAATGCACTCGACTTTCCATAGAATTTGCACATAACCAAAGAAGTGGCGTCTGGAATCTGGATACTAAATTCTTTCCCTTATATTTTTCCTGTTGACTTTACCGTGCTTTTCCAAGCTGTTCCGTGCTTTTCCATGCAGGTGGGCCATTGGATCTTGGAGACATTGAGGACATAGATGGCCACATGTGCATCGTGTGCCCCTGGCACGACTACGACTTCCGATTGGACAATGGTGACTCCACGTCAGGTCTCAAGGTAAATAAGAGAAGGGTGAAGCTAGTAAATTGATGCTGTCATGCAGCATTTAAAACAGACCCAGATAGTTTGGTCACTGTGAACTGTGTACAATCTTAATAACTGAGGTAAAATCTTAATTTTTAGAACTCGCGAAGAGAAATGAAAGCAATGACATAAAGTTATTAACAAATTAATACCAGTCAGCTCTAATGAATAATTTAAAGTTGTGATTAAAGATATATCCTAATGTTTTAAGCCACATTTAAAAAACAAATGAAAGTGAGGCTAGAATTGCATAAATAGTCTGGCACCATCCCATTCAACAGGTCACAATTTATAAAACACATGCAGGGAACACGACCAAAGTGGCTTCCTCATGAATAAGGTCCATGGGCTGCTGGTATCAGGTTTTGTCCTTTTTTTTTTACTTTCAAATAAAACAATACAGTTCTTTCTAAAACCAATCAGGTGAAAGAAGTTGTCCATTTTAATTTCAAGATATGCTCAGGTTTTATTTGTCTTCATTTCATTTGATTATTTTTTTTGCAGCAACAAACGTTTGCTGTCAGGGTCGTAGACGACCACCTGTACGTCAATACAAGTCTGGAGTTGTCTCACACAAAAGATTCAGAAACACAAAGTGGCAACAAACGTAAGTTGGCTGAAAAGTTACCGAAAGCACACTTTTTGCAAACACGTAAGTTGTATTTCCAACAGGGCAACAAGGTAACTAATCATATACTTAAATTATTTTAATTGGAAACTGGTGCTAAACTAGTCCTTCTAATGTTTACCTCAAATTTTAGGACGTTTAGCATGAATTGTTGATCTACATTGTAGAATGTCCCAATTTATTGATATCATATTTTGTTGATATTTTATAAAAGTACTGTTGGTTATAATGTGTGTTGAATTTAACCCGTTAGTCACTGTTCCATCCCAAACTGCCCTGTAGCATCCCGAACGCCCCCTCCCCCTCCCCCTCCCCCTCCCCCAACACTGAGTAGTTTTAGTAGTTTTATGGATTCATCATGAAATTGAATTCTAACATAATGAGGGATAGATGCATATGGCTGAAAAAAAAAACCTATTGAGACTCAAACATTTAATCATTATGTCGGTTCATCTTGGATTGGAGCCTTGGTCATAGAATTTGAAATGGAGGAAAGAACAGTTATGATGTCTAGACTCCTTGATCTTATTATTCACAACAAAATTGTTGTTTCTTCTGTTTTGTCAAGACAGATGTCGAAGAACAGCAACCCACCACTAGCTCTGACAGTGAGGACACACTGTGCCACTGGGCTGTCCGTATTCTCTGCACTGCTGATCCTGCTGAAAAGGTACGACAGCAATAAAACTCCTCTACTTTCGATTGTCCATAAAACATCTGATGTTTGAATGTTGGCAAATCAAAAATATGTCTTTTATTTCCAGGATTCCACCCTCGTTCAGACCGCAACAGAATCTTGGTCGTAATTAATAGATGGCCAAGGTTTTTTCTGTTACTAAATCATGGATTGACAGTAGTCAGAAAGTCTTGAAATTTCTTTCTTTCGCGACTGCCCATGTATGTCTGGGTTTACAAAGGAAAAAATGTATTGTTCCTGAGACAGTTTACCTGTCATATAAATCCGATTTTGTACTTGTCATTCCTCCCTCCCCAAAGGTTCGGCTAACACACGAGGTTCAGGAAAAATGGCGGAGAGGAGACTTGACAGAAATCGGGAGATGTCAGCCGCCGGATCAGCCCCATCGCGCCGAGACGCTGAACGTCGTTGCTCCGGGACGAATTAAGAGAGGCAAAGCAGGCACTCTGGTAAGAATGATTTGGTTACTTCTTAGGTCCACTGGCTTTGCTGAGGGAGGTGGTAGTTGTTGGCAAAATCATGTCAGTAAAATTGTGACCTTCGGCAAGTATGCCACAATTGATAGCGCCACCTATTGAACAATTCTGTTGTCTAAAAAAGATCATCCACGTTGAACAGCAAACCAATAAGTCAGATGGTGTTTGTAAGCAGGAGGGTGTGGGTTCGAGTCCAAGCGAAGTCACAAGCCCTCGAACAGAACTGAGAATACCGTTTTTATGGGATCTGTGCGCAAACAAGAGAGGGCGCTTACTGATTTCGCGAGCAAACTCTCGACTAATTTTATTCTAAATGTGCATGACTAAGTTTATTCTAAAAGTGTCTTCGCATGAGCGTCAGGCTACAGGCATTGGGCTTCAGGCTTCAGCCTTCAGGTAATGCGGTTGAATGTCTGTTGAATTCAGTGCGGTTGAGTGCAGCAATGCAGTTGAATGCCTCTTGCAACTATCTCTTTCTTACCATTGAAAGTAACGCTGCACGGAGCCCATAAAATGACTGAAGAGCATAAGGCGACTCTTGTCATATCCCTCTTGCAACTTCCATTTTTTTTCTTAAGGGTAACCGTATAGCCTCCTTGCATTCCCTGGCCAACATTGAGCAGTGGGCCATCGACCTGTCCTGGGACATCATCGCCCGCTTTGCCGACACCAGGATGGGTGACGGCAGCCCGCTACCCAAGGAATTCTTCGACGACTTTGTCAAAGTAGCAGGAGACGAAGCAAAGGTATACAGTTGAGCAAAAAGTCACCACCCTAACCCTAACAGAACTCAACCCATCAAACCCCAACGGCATGTTTTGTTGGAATCTGTCAGGATGGGTACAGTACCCCTAAACTGACAGTCTTTTTTTACATTGGGTTGGCACACCTCCAGAATCAAAGTCAGAAATATGTGTGTGCAGTTTCCCATATGGTGTTGGAATTTGCCAGGATGGGTATGGTTCCTAGTAAATCATGCTAGGGAGTTAGGGTTAATATGTGAAATATTTTGTTGAATTGCATTTAGCCTCAGGTGTATTATGTCTCCTTTTCTTTTTGCATTGTAACAGCATTTCAAGATACTGGAAGACAGACTTCAAACTCTTGGGAGTCATTTTGGGGCTCTCCCTGTGCACAATGGCAAGTTATGTTTGATTTGTTTTCACCAGAGGAAAAACCATGACTTTTACAGTTTAAGCAATAACAAATAGCACTGCTGCTCACCGTATGGCCCTACATGATACACACGTACAAGGTCGATAAGGTGGTGGCACCTTAGGCGAGGCGTCATAAATAAATTAACCGTTCGAACGCGTGCGCACGCTAGGAATGGGGCCTTTTGTTACATCTACCTCCCGTTCGCACGCGTGCTCACGGCATCCCGTTCCGAACGCGTTCTTATACAACAAAAGGCCAGTCACGGTCTGTGCACACACGAAGAGCTCATCAGCACTAAAAATATCCAACAAACTTTCTCGTCGCTACAGGCTAGCCCGTACAGTACAGGGGGGACGTATAAAAATACGGGCACCTTGAATGGGGAAAGCAGTCCTTTGCAATATTTTTTTAACCCTTCCAATCTCCGCATTTTTAATATAACCTAGACCATACATTTTTTTTCGCCCCGCCCAGCGGCAGACAACGATATTTAAGGATAAAAAGGCATAAATCTTATCAAACTCCTCATACCTGCTCGTGCTGTCTAAACTCTGAAATGTTTTTTTTATTTAATGCTTGCTCCGATATCGGGTTTTCAAATTCCAAATCTGATTTAAATTCCAAACCAAAACGGATTTTTTTTCTGTACAAGTATATACACATAGTTGTTCTTCGCATCTTTGTTGTGCTGCTCCCATTCTCGCACGCAAAGGAACGGTTGATTAACATAACAATACCCCCTCAGTGAAGCTTGCCCAAGCACGATGTACGGAACGCGTTCTAAAAGCCGTTCGGCACGGGAAGGAACGGGGGCCGTTCAGAACGGGAAGGAACGCGTGCGCACGCGTGAGAACGGTTAATTTATTTATGACGCCTCGCCTTAGTTTGGTCTGTAATTGTTTTTTAGTCATTAGATGTCACATTATTAGTGATGTATCACATTCACTTTTCCCTTTTCCAACAGCAGCTCATTAAAGTGTCGGACATTATACGTCCGAATTTACGGAATTGCCCAAATGTAATTTTTATGTCAAAACTGGATATACTTCTGGGTAGAGCTTAAAAATGGAGATTTGAACAAAAAGCTGTGCGGGAGGCGGGGGAATAATTTAGAAACAAAAGTTCCTAAATAAGATGCCTTAAATAAAAAAAAACGTAAAATTTTCAGTACTTTGCTTTTTTATTGATGATTTATAAAGATAAGTCAGGTCTTGAAATTCATCTCCCTTGGCTACCTCCATGAAAAAGTGGCTGAAATTTAATGATTTTTTTATAACAGTGTAATTTTGCAAAGAAAAGTCAGTCTGTTTTTAACCAGCTGCCCAGAGGGTCTATTTTTGACAACACATCTCATTCTGATGAACAAAAGAATTTTCGCTTTCAATTGATCTCTGTTTCCTGGACTGCAGGTTTGTGGCAGTCGGCCTCAGAGACCAAAGACAACATCTTAGCTAGATTGGCAGTGGTGCACATGGTGCACGAAGCAAGGTCAGTTACAAGGGGCTATTTTTTTTGGGAATCTTAAAGAGTTTAGCAGAAACTTTGTGCTTACTGTTGCTGAAAACAACTGTGCATATCTCAAAGTGTGTTTTATGGCCTAGATTTGCAAATGCTTGCACATGCATGCAGATTTCTAATGTATCACTATTTCAAGAAAATTCTGCTTATGGTTTCTGCATAAAAATAATGATCAGATATAGTGTTAGCAGAAATAATATGCCTAACAGCACTGTGAATTCGTGTAAGGATTTCAATCCAGATCCTGTATAAAAATCATTGAGAGGGAACACTTCCACAACTGGCTTGTGGATGGACAACTCGTGAGTCTTACAATGCGGGTTGCATGTAAAAATGTGAAGGATTTCTGTACAAAATGTTTGGCCTGTTTGACGATAAGTCCTTACTCTCCCAAATCCTTCCAAATTTGTATTGCTTCAAAGGGGTCTTGATGTTCATCCCAAGACGCAGGAGCGCTTTGCCAAGCAGGGGGATGAGGATTCAGTCTCGGTCTTGGATGTCATTTATACTGACGAGATCACCCACGTGGCGGCTGGAATGAGGTGGTTCACGTACGTCTGTCGACGTGCTGAGCCGCCGCAAGAGTGCATCTCGGAGTTCCATAGGCTCGTCAGGAAACATTTCAGGTTGGAAAGTAACCCTTAAACCCCCCCATCACCCATCCCTCCCCCACCCCCTACTTTTTGCAAGGAACTTTCTTGAATTTTCAAAAAATCGACCCTTGTGCAGGAAACTTGTTATTGCACATTACTTTCCTTTTTCATGGTTAACCAATAACAATCCGAGTAAATACACACCTACTCCAAAAAACAGCCCCTAAAAAAAAAGAAAAAAAGTTGGAATTATTTGTGGTTAATTCATTTCATATATTTATCTAACATCCTTTAATCTCACTTGAAATAAAAATGTTGGGATCATTTTATTTTCAGGGGTCTGTTAAAACCACCAATTAACGAAGAAGGAAGAACTATCGCTGGAATGAGCAAAGAGGTAATTGTTATTTTTCCATCGAAATTTTTGCTGATGCTCAAGAGTATTCAAGTGAAAAGAAATCTAAGTTATTTCAATAAACATGTACTTGCTGGGTAGATTGGAAACTTTTAGTAAATAAACAGAAATTTGTGGACGTTAAAAAATCTGTAATCAAAACCACCTACATTTAAATTGAACTGAAATAGAATAGGTGCTCGCCGTACTACCTTAAGTATTTCAATACCTCCCCTTTTCATTTGCAGTGGTATGTGCCGTTAATGCAACCAGCCAATCAGGATGCAGATGCCAAGGAGTCCATTTCTGCAGGGGGTTCAAGCTGATAGCTGGGACTGTGCAGCAAAACATCATCAGCCCTACTTTCTTGCCAAATGGACAAACTGGTGTAAACTGTGCAATTTATTTTTAAACTGAACATTGACATCGGGGTTTACCGAGGAGGAAGGTCAAGGGTTAGGGGTGAAAAGGTCATAAACGATAGGTTCGGTTTTTGAGTTACAAAAGGGATCCTTAAAAATGGTGTGGGCAGGGGAGAAATATGTGCCTCAGGAAAAGTTGCCTCTTAAATTGGCATTTTCTAATGGTTCCTATTGCATGTTATTTCGTGTACTTACAAATAAATGTGCATCACTTGTATACATTGTATATTATATTTAAAACAACCCTAGTATTTATTTCAGGAATGAGATTGTCAAATTCAAAAATAGTCTGAAAATTTCGGTGAAAAGTCTGAAAGATGCATTTCTTTCTATGCTGCCGTCTTTCTCTCAGATTAAAAGTCTGAATTCAGACAAAGTCTGAAAAATCTCATGCCTGTTATTTTCTCAGTGGAAATTTTTTTTTTTTTATCTTTTAAGTTCAAATTCCATCAAAAGTCTGTCATAAATTTCTCATACATAAATATTCCTTTAATTAATATTCAAAATAACCACATAGGGAGAGTAAAAAATTCTTTTAAAGACATGAACATGATATTTACCAATTTGTTCTGCATTTTTAATCGGCATAATGATGGAAGGTGCTATCATGAAAATGCATTAAAAATGTACATTAAAATGCTTACAAATTTGTGTATGAAAATCAGAATTGACTTTTAATTGCAGTCTTTGTCAACTAATTTTGTCAGTTTAAGGAAAGCTCTTCAAAAAATAAATTAAGGAAATTTCCTAGTCACTTCTCTTCGAAAAAGTTCCAGGAAGGAATTTATAGATTATCACATTTGTCTTTCCATAAAAATTGAATTGTTCATCCGCATGGATAGATATTGTCCCATCAATTTGTATTCTAAATTATTCTTATTCACCAATAATGCAACACAAATGGATTAAAAAATAAAATTGTATGAAATTTGTCACAAAGCTGTGTGTTTGGACTTTTTCTTCTTGGATTTTCTAGTATGGTTTGTTTCTTGACCGCGTAGATTACCATTGACATGCTCGTCCGGCACAAGCTGATCAGGAAATTTAATCTTATCTTTGCTGCTCAGGTCCTGCAAACTGTCTTCACAAACGGTGCTTTCCATTTCCCGACTACGTTTGTCACGAGTTCTTTTCGCTTTTTTGGCTGCCTTCCTGGCAGCTTTGCTCTCCGCCTCCTCTCGTACTATCAGTTCCCGTGTGTCAGGCCTATCTGATGAATATTCATGACTATTCATATTACCCTTCTCTGGCATATTTCCTCTCTTTTGCTTTTTCTCTTTCACACTGTCTCCAAGAAGGTTGTCATCTGTTGAATATGCATGAGGATCAACATCCCCATTTTCAACCGCCGCCTTTTTGCATTTCTTGTTCCGTTTCTTGCAATCTTTGTCACCGCTTACAATCTCTGTATATGGTGTATCAATCCCAGATGCTTTCTCTTCCGATTTACACTTCTTTTCTTTCTTCCGCCGTTTCTTTTTCCGCCCTTCTTCTGAAGCGCCCTCATGTGACGGTGATGATCCATGCACATCGCTGTTTCCCTTAGGTGGGCGGGGCAGATTATGACCCTCCTCCTGAGCCTGAATGCGTTTCAGCTTCCCGGACAGAGTCAGACCATGCCTCGCACCCCTTCAGGAGAAACAAAAATAACAAAAAAACTGGAATTGAAAATGGAAACTTTTTATAAAACTTTGGCAGGCAACTGGTGACCAGGTGGGCTATTGGCCTCCCTCCCCCCCCCCCCCCGAAAAAAAATGGATCGGGTCCATCTTCTGATTGGTCCATTACATGCATATTTAATACCGTGTTTTCAACAACACCAATGCAGTATAAGCTTTACATGCTGTAGGAAAAGTTCCTTCCTCACTAATGTTATTTAAAAGATAAAATGAGAAAAAGCAACCAAAAAAAAGGGGCCTCAATGGGACTCGAATCAGATCATCTCAGTAGAAGTCACGACTTCTTCATATTCCAACCAGTCCACGAATCTTCTGCCTTGCGTCGGTGATTTAAAAGGAATATACAACATTTGCTTTTGCTGTTATTTTCAGAAATGGATGGCTTTAAGGGTTAGTATTTTATAGCAAATATTGTAACTCTGACTTGATTGAAGTTTTGTGTTCATAGATGCTGAAAAAAAAACCCAGGAAAAACAATCCTGTACTTGTAGTCTGGTTCCCTGACCCCGCTGAAGATGAAACGAAGCACTTTATAGATGTTTGGAAATTGTAAGGTCAGGGAACTAGTCTAGCTGGTTTGCACCCATTCACAGATGTTGCAAACAAAATGTGAACTGAATAAATTTTGTGAATTGGGGGCAGTTGAAAAAAGTCAGGTTTTTCCAACACTGGTTGGCCAACCATCGTTGGAAATTGATACAAAAGTACCACTTTTCTTGAAAATGACAGCACACCCAGTGCCATGATTTTACAGGATGCTTTAAATGCTTTTGCATTTACTAACAGTCCAGTAAGGTTTTTCATAATAATTTGATTATTTTGTTTTTCGATGTTTGCAAATGTGGTATATTCCCTTTAACAAAATGCCCTGGATAGCTATGAATATGCATGAGCGCAGAGAGGGCACAGGCCGGTTATGTCACGAAGCTGCACAAGGTACGCAACAAAATGTATCACTTGATGATGCATCAACTGCAACCTGATGGCTCAGAATAGACATTATTGTTATTGCCAGAAAAGGTTAAAACAACAAAAGTGAGAAATATAAAAAATTACTTGTGAGCGGTTCGGCCTCCACAGGCCTTGAAGAATCTCTCGTCAATGTTTGTTGACTCCAAGTTGTCACCGTCACTGTCTTCATCTGAGGAGGAGGATGATGCGTCCTGGTTGTCCTGCTGCAAGCCCTCTGTTGTCAGGGTGGCACTTTTGACAAAGTTGCCGTACAGCAACGGTTTCTTGCCCCGGTCACTGGACTGCTTCTTGTTGCTGATTGGGCCCTGCGTGGTCGTTTTTCTAGAGAGCTTCACGCCGTCCTGGAAGAACAATGAACAAATTTGTGCTTGTTTTGTCAAATCATTTTTTTTTTAAATCTTGGGGTGCCTCAGTGCAGTGGGAATACTGAATGGGCTTGTATGTGTACCTGGTCGGTCTCAACGACAATGTTGCTGGCTGCTTTGTTGAAGACATGGTCCCACCAGTGGTAGGTAAACTGCTCGCCTGCATCATGACCAACCTTGATGAGAAATACAACACAAAATAATTAAAACTTAAGCATAGGTGTAGGCTGTGTTACGTCAGCTGATGAAACTATCTATTTATTTGTACACAAGTTTTCATTGGGTGCTTTGTGTTACCAGTCAGCACTCTGGACTAAAGAACCATTCGGTGTCAAGGAAATGGGTCTGGGAACAAGATAAGGAAATTTCTTTAAGTTCTTGGATATCCGCACCTGCTTATACCAATCAAAGTATCCAATCAAACGTTTTCACCGTCACCCATATGTTATGGAAAGCTTCATAATTCTTCAATTTTATGATTGACGAAGAGAAGAAAAAATTACGGCCAAAGATTCTGTTAATTAATTTACCGAAACTTCATTGGCATAGTTGCTTAGAACTTTACCAAGTCCTGCAAACTTCACTACTGTTTGGAAACCATTTGCACAAAAATACGAGTGCGTACTTGAACTTTCAAGAATGATCAAGACCCATGTTAAGCAATAGGCTCTACCATTGTAAGGCCTTAAAAAAATCCTCCAAAACTGCCTGGATAAATTTTTTTTTTTTTTTTTTTAAAATAAGAGTTAGTTAAAGTCAGGTTTAATAATTGTATTAATTTCAACTTTTCTATGAGGATATTTATCTTACCCCGGCAGTATCCTGCTTTATCTTGACCTTGATGGCTTCGCTGATTCCGGACTCTTTTTTCCCAAGACCTTGACCTGGGGTCAAAGAAACAGACAGGTATTAGTTATTAGCTATAGTTCCTTGGATTTCATTGGCTGGTGAGCGCCATGCAAACAGCTTCTCGTAATCTGATTGGTCAAGGACACAAGAGATCCCAACCCACACTGACCTCAACTTCAAGTGCACAAAACCTCCATAAACAAAATCTTACAATTTTAACCTGTTCATCAATTGCTAATTCTTCAAAAGTTTCCATATGGCAAATATCAGGTCGTTAATTTGGCAAAAATCACACAATTAAATGTAAGATTACTTTTAATAAAACTGATTATTCTGTGGTTGTGGTGACACTGAAGTTAATATTGGTCAAAAGTTGTGTCCCACACAAGAGAAAATAATGCATATATTAGCATGCATTTGCATGATATATATGAGTGATTGTGAAGTGAACGGCCCCATTCCTAAAAACAGGACAAAATCCGCTTTTAGGCCGAGTAAACAAAACTAAATAATTTCTCGTCCACAAGGCTTTTGGAAAAAGGAGGCAGGTCTTTTTTGTAAAATTGTTTTCTTCAAAGTAGTCAGATTTAATATTAGGTTTTGCCCTTTTGGTTTAACCATGGTTTTACTTTGTAAAAACTAAACAAACACATTTCACGTGTTCCTGATCCTGCACTCTGCACTCTGCAGCACAACCACAGTGTCCGAAATCTGGGCAACTTTTCTCAATTATAATTTTATTGCTCTCTCCCCTTCGTCGGGTGGCAGCAACTTCACCCGCACGTTGTGACATATAAGTAATGTAAACCACATTACAGATATCAAATAAATAACACTTTACCGCTCTTCCAGCCGTGCTTTTCAAGTTGTTGCTGAGCAAACGACGAACACCTGTGCGCAGCCATTTTTAAAGTGTTCTCCACGTGTGTGGTGCCGGTGGAAGGGCGCCACCATACGTCGGGGCACTGATTAAATTCGTTAAAGGTGTCCAGATTAAAGGGGTTGTCTAGATCGGGGGAAAAAAGTTTTAATGGATGATTTTGAGAGGACATTTTAATATTTTAAAATTATTTTCAAAAAAAGACAAGTAGACAGGATGAGATATGGAATTTTCCCCTTCACATTTGTGATGTCACAGTTGGGTTAAAAGATTTTTTTTTAGAATGTTGGTTTTCCATCTCACGAAATTTGAAGAATTGTATGCATTTAAAAAAATACAGTACCAGTCGTCCTAAACACAGTATGTCTTCATCAACATGAAAAGTAAATAGTCAATAGAGGAATATGATCAAAAGACAGTCCACGACTTCCAAAAGAGAGGGCCAAAAAGTATGTCAATGTCATGGAAAATACTGACCAACAACCAAACCCATCCTGAACTCTCTACCCAACCTGCCCCCCCCCCCCCAATATAGAAATTGACGAAAATCAAATAATTGAAATCCATACAAATATCCTTCATGTTTCAGAAAAAAGCTGTATAAAACTGTTTTTATTTACTGTTTTTGTACAAGAACAGAATCAAAGAACTTTGAAGGAACAGAGATATAAATAAGGCATGGAACAAAGAAACAGAAACTACATAAGATATCAACTCTCAGTTGAATAAACGAACACGTGTGTAACTGAACGATGAAAACAGTTATCTTTAAAAAATAATGTAAAAATTGCAACCCCTAATAATTGCAAACGCTGATCACAGGAAAAATGGTAAAACAAGAGTTGGTGGTAAACGATCTTTTACGATATTGATTGTATTTGTTTCTGATTTTAGGAAAAACAGCTACTGTTTGTGGCGATTTGCATACTAATTTAACTTCAGTAGAAGTTGAAAAGCATGCCCAACATTTTGGCTGCAAAAGTGCGCTATTTGCTAGGAAAAGCTTGACTGTGCTTAGCATGTTGGCATCACACATTAGTCACTCGTAAAAATTGAAGACTTTGTTTCCAAAACGCGATAAATGCTACATGTATTTGTTAGCTTTTAGTAAGAATCCTGCCCTCTCCAGGTTCTTCCCAAAGTCAGTTTCGACGGCTGTTTTATGGTTAAATTCAACTTTTAAGCAAACATACATTACTCATGGAACAGCAAAACACTGAACATAAAAGTCCCGCATGTCATGACCTGAATAATAAACAGGGCAAAGGTCATGACATCCAAGCCCACAGTGTGGGGGCGCTGTTCCATTGTAATTACTGTTAAGAATACAATAAAGAGAAAAATGTAGATTAGGGACAGCTGTTATACTGTGCATTTTCTATAAGTTTTCAGAACCGTTCCATTCCCCCCCCCCCCCCCCTTTTCAAATGGATATATCGTGTTTTGTGTCATTTCTTTAGCATATTTGCTTTGAGTTGCTTGCTGGGACTTTTTTAAGTTACTATATGTGGTCTGCTGCAAAGTTTTAGTCACAACATAGTAAAGAAAGGGTGCAAAATAGCCTCTTTAAAGGAACTGCTATTTTATCAAATGGACGGCACAATTCCCCTAGATTCATCTTTACTGATAAAATAATACCACCGATTTATTTAAAGGCATGATTTTCAGTATCACAAATACCTATAAATTTGTTTGGATCTCTTATGAATTTTAGGATCTCTTTGAGGTTGGCTTGTAACAACATGAAACCCCTTGAATCCTTTTATAAAATAAAAACTCTATTTATAATACAAACATTTACATCTTAAGAAAAAAAATACATGCATGTATCTCGGTGATCTTGGTGAATCTTAAAAATAACGGTTCATGAAGATTGGTTACAAACATAATTTTTAACCAGATTGTTCACAAAATGAGTTGTGCCACAAAAAAAAAAAGAAGAAGTCAATTCTTGAAATTTAAGCATAATTGAAGAGGGTTATTAAAGGGGATACATCATCGTCTGTGCAGAAATGGAACTTTTATTTATGTTCCTGTGGGGGAAATTTGTGATTACTGATTGACAAACTGAGATTTGAACAGCTTAAAAACAGCTTTTTTCTTGTACCCTTTAAACCTTCTGGTTGCCCAAGACTAACTTGTGTCTTGCAAACTTGATAAATAAATAAAAATCAAGCTTTCTGAAATATTTTTAAACTTAACCATTACGACCATAGTACCTTCTTAATGATACTAATATTTCATACAAGTGTCAACCACAGAAAAATTGTTAACTCATCATAAGATGGAATTGTTAACTCATCAGTTGCGATGAAAACAAATGCTCTCTAAAACAAAAATTTGTATCAAATTCGTCCATGAACTAGTTATAAATTATGGGGCATTGTGGTATCAGACTAAATATAATGCAAGTAATTGTGACAGCATAGGATAATCATAAGGCCAAACATGTTTCAGACTTGGGTTCCAGACTTGGGCCGAAACCATACAGCATTAGGAGGTTAGACAACATAGATTGTCATTTCAGATAGGCAAACTTTTATGAGCCGATTTTCCAGTGGCTAGCCTCTATGGAGTCATGCACCAATGACTGCATCAGTTTAACGTTAATTGACTTTCATGTTTTTGCTCCAATAACTGTTTCAAATGTTGAACTAATCACAGAATTTATTTTGTTCGGTGCGACTCTAGAATGCCAACCTGAAAAAGGTGTAACGACAGGGTTCCCATAGAAATATTTAAATGAAATTCCAAGATTTTTCCATGACTTTTCTAGGAGAAATTTAGGGCTTTCCATGACCAATTCCTATGCTGTTTTGGTCTCTCAATTCCTATGCTGTTTTGGCATCTCAATTCCTATGCTGTTTTGGCATCTTAGGAGCGTATTGCTCTGAGGGCAAGGGACACCACATCCCTTTCAGCACTCCAGTTTGGCTAAAGACCGCTGATCTCAATGGTGCATTGAACAAGCAACAAGTGTAGAGTGTACGGTTCATGCATAAAGAGCAAGTATAATGAAATTGGAATCCAAACAGGAAGACTGCCACAGCCAAATATTACACATCATCACATATGGCTTGTGCAGGATGCAATGAATTTTCCGTAACTTCTTTCTTGGAATATCAACTTTCCATGACTCCTCATAAAATAACAAAAATTCCGTGACTTTTCCACGACTTCCCATGATAGCTTTAAATGCCAGGATTTTCCTGGAATTTTTCATGAATGTAGGAATCCTGAAGGAAATCAGTTGGTTTGGCTTTCTGTTGACTTTGACTGAATAGGCTTTTCCAAATGAGCTTTTCCAAGAGACTTTGCTAAACACTTGGACACTGACTTTAAAATAAACCATTATGAGTAAACGATACAATGCAATACTGTTGGGAAAAAAAGTCTTTAAGAAAGAGTTCTTACTTTCTTTTCTAAGTTGAATAGCTCGGATCACAACTTGGTTTGAATTTTTAATTTCTTGGCAGATCACTGATGAAATTTTTTTTTTTTTAAATGATCTGAAATTAATAAAAAAGGAAAAAAATATGAGCACTTGTTTCTGCAAAAGAAATGAACATTATTATCATAAATAGGTATGAACATTAACAAACGGGCTATCTTTACATATGTACAGTCGTAATCTGCATAAGAATACAAGTTGTTTACAAAAGAGAGTAAACGAGGCTTCTTCCCTCAAAAAAACAAAACAAAGGAGGGACGAATATACATTTTATGAATCTCATACCCGACAACGGGTATAGTTTCGGTAACAAGTCTCATGGGTCCTGTTACGCCCCGATTATGGAATCATCCTAACTGGGACTTCCCCAACTTTAATTGGGATGGTCCCAACTGCAGTTGGGACCTACTTGTACCCAACTACAGTTGGGACTTACCCAACTACAGTTAGGGCGCATCAGGCCCAATAACAATAGCCTAGTATACAATAGCCTGCCATTTTTTTTATTTATCTCACAGAAAACGAAATATATTTGTAACTCTCCCAATATTTAAGATGATGACCAAAAGCCCCAAACAAACCAAAAGCACCACTTTTGCAAAGTCATTTTATTCTTTGGTGGCTTTACAAATTCCAACATTGCTTTTTTTTTTTTAAATTTAACTTAATCTTTTTTTTTCAGCACTTGCTGGTTGAAGTTCTATACAGGCTGTACATTGCTTTATTTTTTCAATTCTACACCGATCGTTGACAATGTTGTCATTTTATAGTCTTTCCATAATAACCGAAGGAACTGGCAAGGCATTTTTTTTTTAAATTGTGAATTCGGCACAGGTTATGTTTTGTTCCCATCCCTAACAAAGTCTCTTTCTTTTTCGTGATTGTTCATTCAGGTTTGCCTCCTCTTTCGTCGTTTTACAAAATTTACAGTGACCGGGAGTCAAACTTGGCCTTGCCAACTGCCACACATCTGCAAAATGATCCTCTTAGCTGGGACCTCAAATATTAGTTTTGTTCTGAGTTGCAATGCATGTTCATCATTCAATAATATGTTGTTGTCTTGATTCTTCCATTTTTCACTGGGCCAGGCAAGTTGTTACCAACATTTTCAAAAATGCAGACATCATGCCCATTTCCTCTCCGCTCTGTCCTGGATCCTACATTTTCAGCGTTAATATCCATCAACGGACGACAAAAATTTCAGATCCGGGATGCATCGTCATCCAGTCTCAAGTAGTGCATTGGAAGAAAACACGAATGTACACAATTTTCCAACTTTGGTCGAAGCAAAATCCCGTTCTTTTCTTCTGAGTTCCATAACTTCCTACCATCAAAACGAATCCGAAGATTGGAGAAGGCAAAAATTTGCTCGTAAATTTTTCCACGGATGTACCAGCTTTGCAAAAGATCAGACAAGGGAAGATAGTGACACAATTGGTCTTTATAGGAAGCACCGTCCGCAAGATCCAAGAGGCACACACCAGTAATTTCTAAGTTTTTGTCTGGCTGGACAGACTGAAGGCGGGAGGAAGACATCCTTTTTGGAGGTGAGTAGCATGAGAGGCTGGCCAGTTTTATTGGTCGTTCCTAGAGGGAGGTCTCGTTGTGGGGTGGCCTGGCTGCTTGGTTCTCCTCCTCCAGTAAGGCTATCCTCTGCTTCAACATCCGAACCTTGGGCAGAAAAATATACGGTAAAATGAGTGGTAAAGCAAGTAATAGGTGGCACCGAAGTCACTTGGGGCGTGCGTTAAATTACTGCAGCCGATTAATTTTGGAAGTAGCCTGAATTGAGTAGCTCGACCAATTTACCTGTGTGTCGTGTCTCTCTACCATCGCCATCATCTGGGCTTCCAGTTTCTTGAGCCTGTTCTGGTGTTTCTTCTTGGCTTTGTCGTAAGCAGTGACTAGGGCACTGTGAGAATATAGACCAAAAAACAAAGATATTGAAGCTACTTCTCCTCAGGGGTAAACTGAATCTGAACTTTTTCCTAAATTTTAACAGGAAAGACAAGTTTTAAAATTTGTTTTTATGGCACTGGCACCAACTGAAAAAAGACATCTTTAATAAGCAACTGTACCAACCTGTTGGCTCTCTTAAGGTCGGTGATGAACTCTGCCGACTGCTGGTGCCTCATCTCCGAGCTCTTCTGCAGCTTCTCAATGGTGGCCATCAGCTCGTGGATCTTGCCTCTCAGCTTCTTCTCCCGCCTCGCCATCTCCGCCATGTCTATGGAGATGTTCGGGTCGTCTAGGTGGCTGAGCTCCGCTAAGGTGATGGAGGGCGTGGAGTGTGGTCCAAAGCCTGATTGCTGTGGCAGGAAACAATTCAACAATACAGTTCCGGATCAAAACAAAGAAATACTGCTGTCCACAATGAAACATGAAACACTGTGTTAGTTTGCCTCGATCAGGACACTTTTCAACTTCATGGCTTGTCATGCAGTTAACCAACTGTCCTTGGCCGTTTCCATGCAGTGCCTTGCATAGACTACTCAAACTACTGCCAACATTCTTTCGCATACAGTGAATGCACATCGTGGAAGCAGGAATGAGATTGTGGGACAATGAAAAATCCACACAAAAACTGGTAAAACCTCAGGAATTCCAGATTTCAAAATTGGATTCTTTAAAAACCCTGTTACACTGTGTTAAAAAAATGCTGAAATTGGGAAAAATTGAGACAAAAAATCCTAAAATCTGGAAAAATCCTGACCAAAATTCCTGAAATCAGGAAAAATCCTGACACATCTCAACTCTGGCACAGAGCAAAAGTATATCAAACCATTGCAACTCACGCAAAAAAAGAAGAAGTAATAAATAAATAATTCAATAAACAAGCAGTACGTCCAGGTGGTCAAATAACTTTTTAATCAGTCACTATTCCAATGGGACTTTCTATCTCAACCTACCTTGGGACTCCTGGGTACCGCCACTTTGCCCTTCTTTTCCTGTACCTCCGACTTGAGATGGTCAATCTGGGCCAGATAGGCTTGCTCCTGTGCGTCCCGGGAGGTCATCTTGAGCTCCGCCGCTTTCTTCTCTTTCTCCAGGAGATAATATTGGGCCTTGAGCTCGGCCTTTTCCTCCTGAGGAGACGGATGAAGACAAGAATTAAAGACAAAAGGACAAAATTTAATATGAATGCGCAGTTAGCACATGGGTCATTCTGTAAATTTAGGGTCAAAGTGTTACACTTTTTCCTGTCCCTGTTTCCGGTAGCTTGGTATTTTGTAATTTTGACATTCAATTATAATTAAGAATGACTTCGTCTCTCTTGGAGGATGACTGCATTTAAGGAGTGCATCACAACTATAAAATCACAGATGTCAGATGTTACAGGGACAGAAATAAAAGTTGACCCGAAATTCTTAGAATGTCCCATGTGCCTAGTTCAGGCTCCTCAACAGTGGCTCTCCTGAACAACAGGCCCCTCAACAGTTTACGCATTCCAGGTACGTATAACACATGCGTTCTCAGACATCACTTTTACCCCCTAAAGTATGGTTTCACAACTTCATACCTGATAAAGCAATCTGTAGTAGTTAAGTCTTAAAAAAAAGAAGAGAGAAATTGACATTTGCAAAGGAGACAAAGTGACGCTGGCGACACATGTCAGAGCACAGGGAGCAAACAGCAGGATTAAACTGATCATCTCTGCCTGGGGCACTGATCTATCTTGTCAAGGGGCACCATATGGGGCCTAATCCCATTTAATCTCCCTCTTAATCCCCATGATCAGAGATCCAAATCACTCTTTGCATCTCCCCGAGGATACCGAGAAATGGATCTGGGTCACAGCTGCAGGCAGTTTAGTCCACATTTCTGAACAAACACACTGATGGTGAATTGATACCAAAATAAAACAACACCCGGCATGTACTGCCTGATATTTCTGTCGAAAATTCCAAATGTGTATGGTCAATTTTAACACATTTTATTTTTTACAAAGAAAAGGTTATAGACAGCACAGTCAATGAGTGATGTTTTCTGTGACTTCTTTGAAAAGAATGAGCAGAAGTTCAATTCACTTGCAGTCTACACGGTCCCTTTCAGCACCACAACTTTTAAAACACAGTTGCTTATTTTGATTCCGACAGCTGTTTTTCTCCCCAAGAGAAACCACAAATAGATTGGCAAGATAGATACATGCACTATATAGCGGACCTCGAACAAAAGTTGACATTAAGGTCCACAATTGGGTGAAAGGTCCACAGATGAAAATTGTGTGTGCAAAACCAATGGGGTTTCTTCCCAAAAAATATAGACAATAGTATAGAACAAGAGGTCCACGGTTGAAGATGTTCACAGAATTATATGTGTACATGTACAGGTTATACTTTACATCTTGGAACGTGGAACAAAGGGTGACCTGAGATAACAATAACCCTGAGGACTTGAGTCCAAGTCCTCAGTAATGCTTGGGACACATCAGGAGATAAATGTACATGTATGTGTCTATCATAACTCTTTCGAAGGGCAAATGTTTGGAGGCAAATGTTCGTGGAGCGCCGTGGTTCAGTGGTAAAGGTGTTCGAAACATGTGCTGTGGTACGTGAGTTTGAACCCTGACGGGGAACATGGTGTTTACGTTCTTGGGCAAGACATTTTACTGCAATTGCCTCTCTCCACCCTGGAGTATAAATGGGTACCTATGAAGGAAGAGACCACATTGCACTGATCTCGAGCTGCTGCAGAAAAATGGTCTCCTGGCCTGATGAACAGGGGTAATAATTGTAAAGCGCTTTGACACCTTCGGTATAAAGTGCTATATAAGCACCACATTATTTTATTAAAAGTTAAAATGGGTTTGTAAGTGCTGAAGAGCTACTCTGCTTCTCACCTTGAGTGCAGCAATCTCCTGCATCATGACGGCGTTCTCCAGGTCCAGCCGCTGGCTGTCGCTGCTGGACTTGATCTGCGAGACCGGGTCAATGTGCACGCTCTCCAGCTCCATGACGGTCAGCCGGACGGCCGATTTGTCGTTCTTGAGCTGCTGGATGTAGTCCCGAAGCCGCTGCTCATCTTCTTTGGTGAAGTCTGTGTCGCAGCTGCTGGCTGTGGAGCTGGTGGTGCTGTTGGGAGGAGGGAGGGAGGGGGGGGGGTGGTAGAGGAGTATCATTAAAGGTTAAAGGTGAAAATTGAGAGTATTATGGGCCACTGTTTTATACCGCGCATGCTTTTGTCGTTTTCCATGCGAAAAGCTTTGTGGAAATGTGACAGTCGTTTATGAATTCAACTGGTGATTGGCGGTGAATTTAACTTCGGAGACACAAATCCTTCAAATCACACCAAATAATGGTTAACAGATTCTTAACACTTGATCGGCAAGTTTTGAATATTTGAATATTCAGTCAAACACAGTTTTGAATAATTGAATACTAAATTTAAAAACAAGTCAGGTGTGTTTACAAACACAAATGCCCCGCAACCGTGACTGTTCCCATGACATAACACCACTCTTTTAACATCAACTTACATGTACCTTGGTCACATGGAACATTCATTGACAGCATTAGTGTCTTCTGTAGGTTTTATATGAATTAATCCCTAATCCCTATAATCTCAGAATAAATACAAGATTTCTATTGTTTTAGCCACTGTGAACTTGACCCTTGACCTTTTTGCCCCAAATTCAATAGGCTTCTTAGGATTACCAAGAACAATCCACAAACCAAATTTGAAGTTCATATGTTAAGTATTTCTCAAGTTATCGCGCTGACAAGATTTCTATTGTTTTAGCCACTGTGAACTTGACACTTGACCTTTCGACCCCAAATGCAATAGGCTTCTTAGGATTGCCATGAACAATCCACAAACCAAATTTGAAGTTCACATGTAAAGTATTTCTCAAGTTATTGCGCTGACAAGATTTCTATTGTTTTAGCCACTGTGAACTTGACCTTTGGCCTTTTGGCCCCAAATGCAAAAGGCTTCTTAGGATTGCCAAAAACAATCCACAAACCAAATTTGAAGTTCACATGTAAAGTATTTCTCAAGTTATCGCGCTGACAAGATTTCTATTGTTTTAGCCACTGTGAACTTGACCTTTGGCCTTTTGGCCCCAAATGCGAAAGGCTTCTTAGGATTGCCAAAAACAATCCACAAACCAAATTTGAAGTTCACATGTAAAGTATTTCTCAAGTTATCGCGCTGACAAGATTTCTATTGTTTTAGCCACTGTGAACTTGACCTTTGGCCTTTTTGGCCCCAAATGCGAAAGGCTTCTTAGGATTACCAAGAACAATCCACAAACCAAATTTGAAGTTCATATGTTAAGTATTTCTCATGTTATCGCGCTGACAAGATTTGTCCGGACACACACACCCACACACCCACCCACCCACACACACACCCACACACCCACCCACCCACCCACCCACGGAAGGACAAGGCGGAAACAGTATGCCCCTTCGGCTTCGCCGCGGGGCATAAAAATGGACAGCTCTGGACGTAAGTTGCAAAATGTCCGTCAAAAGTTGCCGAGTTCATCAAAAGTCTGGTCATAGGTAAATCACAAGTCCTTTCACAAGTCCGGTCACAAGTCACTGTGGACGAACAAAGGAATGCGCATCTCTGGAATGCAGTGTTACCTCGTATGGCTGTGTGACGATACGTCTTCCCAGGGCTGCAGCGTGCAACCTGGCACATGGCACACCATGGTACCGCAGCTGCGGTCCAGCCTCTGCAGCAAGGCCTTAGCCATGTTTTCAGCTGCTTTGCGATTCTCGTGCACCCGCTTCAACATCATGGTGGTCTCTTCCGAGTCCGAACCCTCTGAACTCTCTCCTAGAGATAAAAAAATCATGAGTCAATTATAAAAGTCTCTTGGAATTGGACTTGATACACATTTTTGAGATCGTAAATACTGAGGCAAGTTATTAATTTTGAAAATAATGGATTCCACACAAATTTTACAATTGCAAATTTGTTCATGGTGAAATCTTTCAAATTTTATTTCAAAAAGATACACCATTTCGTAAATTATGGTCCTTAATATTCCATGCATCTGTTCTTAAATGAATGTACTTTCCTAAACATGATGGAAAAAACCCAAAAGATATTTCAGTACCCCGCTTCTGCTTAGATGAAAATGATGTCAAAACTTACAGAAAACATCAGTCTAAAAACTCATAAAGGCTCAGAATATGATATCAGAATAAAATAATAATTTTGGTCTCTTAGCTGTCCCATTCCTACCTGTTCCGATGCCCCCCACGCCTGCCGCCCTGCAGTTAGCCAGGATGACCTGCTGTTCTGTCTCCAACAGCATCAGCAACACGCTGTAGGCCTCCACCGTCTGGTCCGCGTAGTTGACGGCCAGCTGCAGCGCCGTGTTGTTGCTCTCGTACTTGCCCGTCAGCAGCGTCAGCCGGTCCGCGTTGGACTTGCTCTCCTCCAGCGTCAGCTGCAAGAGGTCGTTCTGGGAGCGAAGGTGGTCAATCTTGCTGTTGAGCCTCTCCAGTTCCACCTCAATCTCCCGGGCTTTGCTCTCGGGGACGGCCAGGCCATGCGAGCCTAAGGCTTGAAGGATCTCCTGCACGCTGGAGCACTCCTGAAGGGACCGGGCTAGGTGCTCAGCGACCTTTGGATTGGCAAGCTGAATGTGTGAGGAAAGACAAGGAAGGAGGAGTGAGACATATTTTATAATCTATGAAAAACTAATCGAATATGCAAAAAAAAAATCAGACGCGATAAGGAACAAATTCTGCATACAATTTCGAATTTTGAACATCCCATTTTTAATTGCAACAGTATTAAAAGTACATCAATCTTTGCAATTGACAAAGTGAATTAAGACCTTTTTCCCCTTTAAAAAAAAAACATTTCTCCTCCACTTTCTTTTTACTGCTGGAAAATTCATTGACCCTAACCCCTAGACCTTTTTTTGCTTGGAACCATCCTCAATCCTCCAAAATCCTCCAAAATTTTGCACTTGTGTTGAAATGAAGGATACCCACTGCCTCAATCCTTCAATATCCTCCAACAGCCCTGCCTCTCAAAATGCAGTCAGCCTCAATCCTCCAAAATCCTCAAAACTGCCTGGAGGACTTTGGAGGATTGAGGAAGATAAGGGTTAAAAGGAATTTTCAGCACAGCTCTGATCCCCTCAAATTACTTTTCCCTGTGTTAAATAAATAAGTGTGAAAGACGCTTGTCAAAGAACTTACCCCTACACTGTTTAAGTCGGACCTCGTCACGCCCTTCTCTGACCCCGACCGAGATGAGCTGTCCAGCGACCTGGAAGGCTTTAACCGCACGCGCTCGGCGACCTTGGCCACGGGCATGCCGCCTCGCCGCTCGCTGCCGTACACGCTGAGCTCGCCGGTGCTGGGGTTGACGCCGTTGGGGACAGTGGCGTTAGAGTTGGAGATTGGGTTGGGGGTGGCAGTCTGACGGTAGCCGGGGGAGCTGAGTTGTTCGGAGGAGGAAGACGTGTACCCTTGTTGGTGCTGCTGCTGTTTGAGATTGCTGGCAGTGGCGCCCGAGGGTGGATCGTTGCGTGTCTGGTGATCTCGAACCTACATTAAAATAGCAAACAACATCATAAGCCACGTTCAATTTCTGCAGGAATGTTGTCCAAAACAGCTTTTGTTAAATCAAACTCTCACAGGTCCATTGGTCATTTTATACAGTCTTAATGAAGCAACCCAGCTGCTAAATCGCCAGTAGATTTTTCTTTGGAGACAATTTTGTAAAACTTGTAAGGGGAAAATATTACTTAGTTAACGGCTGTGCCAATTTAGAACCAGCCACGATTTACCATTCCTTAAGTCAAATCTTGCAAAATGGAAATTTTAATGAACAGTCAACTCTTCAAGCAGAAACCGTTATAATCGGAATGTCCAATTGAGCAGTTATCAAAATGAAAACCTGCATAGGGTCTTTCTAATGCGTTTACAATATTTGCGTTTGGTCTGGACATAAAGGGCGTCATAATTGTTATAGATTCAGGGGGAAAAGCAAAAAGGACCGAGGGGGTTATGGTTAAGACTCAGTTTGTAGGATCTTGTCAAATTTCTTTACCTTCTTCCTGAGTCTGTCCCTCTCTTCTCTGATAGCGATCAGGTTAGCCTTGATCTTCTGCAGCTCATCTTCCTTCATGGACAGCGTGGTGTTGAGGTTCTCATTCTCGTCCCGCAGGACCCCCATCTCTTGCTCCAGGCTGCTGCGCCGGCGCTGACAGTCCCGGTGGTGGGGGGCCGGGTGGCCCTGGAAGCCATTAGGCGTCGTTGGGGAGTGGTTGGTGGCTGAACCGCGGTCGTATTGCAGACACTCCACTTCTTGGACGGCCTGGGGGAAGTGGGGAGATATGTTTTTAGTTTGTAAAATGGTTGGGGATTTAAGTTTTACTTACCAAGTTATGTGCATCACAATAGCCTGGCACTCATGTGGGTTCCAAAGACATGTCCAACCAGAATGTACTGACAGTCGATCACGTGTCAATAACATGGCAAACAAACTTTGATATTTTTGGAAAATTTGGGGCATTATTTGAAAAAAGTCCTTTTTTCCCAACGATGGTTGGCTGACCATCGTTGGAAATTGATGGAAAAATTCCACATTTCTTCAAAAGGACTGCAAACCAGGTGCCATGGTTTCACAGGATACTTGAGACTCTGATTCACGTACAGTCAAGTAAGGTATTTCATAATAATTTGGTAGTTGTGTTCTTTTGAGGTTTGAAAATATTGTATATTTTACCTTTTATTTGCATTCTACCGGTACTTCACTGGTACTCTGATTGGGTAGACGTTTATGGTGAGATGTTGGATGGCTGAGGGGAAAGGGGGGGGGGGGGGATAGGGGCGGGCAAGGTTCTTACTAACCTCTAATGACCTCTGTTCCACCTGGTGGGATGCGCTGGTCAGCTGCTTGACCGTGTGGTCGGCCGTGTCGATATGCTGTCTGTAGGTATCCACCCCCTTGCGTTCCTCCACAGCGCATTCTAGCTCGCCGACTACCCTGGACAACTCAGCTGATAAATCATTGCACTGATCTACACAAGCACAAGGAAAGAACAAAAATCAGGGTGACGGATGATCATTGAAATTAGCGAATAACATGAGCCGATCTGTTGATTGATAATTTCAGTTATCAGGTAATTATTCATGGCATGTTGAATTAAGGTAAATTCGTTTTCCTTGGAAAGATGTGCCGTTTCAGAAATAAGCACACTTTCGCAATTTGAAAAGATCCTTTACGAGAGTGATTACATGCTTTAACTGATGCGTCAACCAGATTGTCTGTCTGACGAACTAGAGGGCACTAAATTAGAATTCCTTTTTGAGTTTTACAAACCCAAGAATATAAACTCACAAATTAGTTGAGCTACTAGTCACTTTAATCCCCAAGATTGATTTTAAGGTAAGACACTTATCTAAGATACATGTATGTATGGGTCATTCAATAAATTTAGTGTCCTACATGTAAGTGCAAATTTTTTTCCTGTCCCTGTCACCTTGGTACTTTGTATTGTAGTTTGCCATTCAAGTATCTTAAAGATTGACTTTTTTAAAAATTTGTTGGGTAGGTAGTTTGCTATTCATAATCACTCTAGGAGGATGGCCACATTAACCCTCCTATGCAAACATTCATTCTGTGCCAAGTTGTCCTTGCAGTCAAAATCAATCAAGTGACTGTTTTCAACAGTTAAGAATTCCGAGCCTACATAAAGCAGGATTGACTGGCTGGGACTGTTTAAGTAACTTGATACAGCTATGCTTTGACTCTGGGCGAGTGATAAAGCAGCTGTGAACACAACTTGCCTTCTTTGTCTGTTGACTTTTTTTTTTTACAAATACCATATACTCATGGACAGCAAAAAATGTGGACAGCATAAACAACTCTAATGTTAACAACAATGGCTAACATTGAAACAAACGAACAATGACAGCCTTGATGCTGAGAAAGCGACTAATCTAACGTCTAAATATCACACATACCGTATCATTTACCTAACTTGTAACCATCACTGCACCGCCTTAAACCCTACAAATCAATGACGACATTCACAAGAACGAGAAAGCAAAACCCAAAAGACATACTGTGGCCCCGAGAATCGGTAACATTATCCCGCTTTTCAATTAGCAAGGGTTGAGCACTTCTGACATTCCATCCCCGACGAAAAAAAATATCTGTGCATATATTCCAGCCGGGGCAGGCTATTTTGGATTAGCCCATTTATCATGAACCGATCACGCTGGCACGAACATGTATAGGGTTAACAGGGTCCATTTTTGCTTGGGCACGATTTTGCCCGAGCTTGACTCTTTGATGTTGGGGGGGGGGGTGTTGTGTTGTACAAACAGATTGATTGGGGTAGGTACGGTATGCTACCATTTTCTCCTTTCCAGCCTTTAAATTTTAAAGCTGAACAAACGGAGACTGCTTGCAAGTGACCATTCTACGATATGATGCTGACTGCAGATCTCAGAACCACCAAATTTAATCAGCACAGAAAAAAAAGAAGCTTTTCACTTTTCACATTATCATCTTTCCTAGCCATGTTGTAATCAACACAGGTCGAACATGGGCTCCAGGTGCGAACAAAACCAATTTGGAAAGCCCCATGGACACGTGTGAATACTGGTTCCCGCACGTATAGCACAACGGTTTATTCTGAATGTGCACAAAGCAACACTCTCTTCGCGTGAGCATCAGGCGTCGTCATCAGCGCATTTGAATGTCCCTCCCAGTGGTCTCCCTCAACTCTCCCCTTTCTTACTGATGAGGGGGTACATGTGCACGGAGCCCAAACGCAGAACCAGGCTCCGTACTTACATCAGTTTGAATATGGGTTGGCTGTAAATTCTTATTTTTTTCACCCAGGTAGAGCTTCCCAACCCTGGTTGCAACCAGGGTTGGATTTTATCCGTGTAGAGTGCCAGACCTGTGTAGAAGCCATGTTGGATTCTTGCTAGTGTGAAAGGGTTCCTGAAATCTGATTGACCCGGGTCCAACATAGAGATTTTGGAAAACTGTGAAAGGGCCTTATGATCAAGTGCTACACCCTGCTTCATTGCAAACAAGTTGCTGTCTAAAAACAGACAACACTGGTTCAGCGACAATTATGCATTTCCAAAATGTCATGATTTGAACCAAACTGAACAAAGGAATTTATAAACCACCAAACCTAAACTGACCAGTGATTGGCATTTTGACAGCTGTCAGTTCCTGTACCTGAAATTAACATGCCCCTAGAACAACACCCATCCTATTCCCGGTGTTGCATTCTATTAGCACATTCAATTTCTCCAAGATAAGCAGGTTCAAAGTTCAAAGGGGCAAAGTTCACAACTGCCAGAGCCTGTCAAAGAGCTGTCAAGTGACAGGAGACAGACAGACAGAGAATGATCAACTAACAGATTACAAATGCTGAAATGGCAAATAGACTAGTGAATGATAAAACGGTGGACAGAAAACACTTATCAACTTTTCCACTTCCACGGACCGAATATATCAAGTATTTAAGATAAGAGACAGAGAATGAGGATACACATACATGTAAGGTGGCAGACTTGCTGAATGGCACAGAGATTTCTTGTGTGACAGAATATTGAAAGGCCTGTCAGGCGTCTTTCACACCACCCAAAGAGATTTCAGGAACCTCTTTCACATTAGGAAGAATCCAACATGGCCTCTACATGGTCCGGAGCTCTACACAGGTCCAACACCGAGATTTCAGGAATCTTTGTGTTGGCGCCGGGTCCAGCACGGAGATTTCAGGAACCCCTGTCACACCAGCAAGAATCCAACCGACCTCTAAACGAGTCTAGCGCCTGATATGGGTAAAATCCAACCCCAGCCAGGACCAGGGTTGAGATGCTCCACCCATGCTCCACCCTGGTAGAATATTCTAATTCTACAGCTGACCCGTGTACAGACTGGTTAAATTGTAAACAGCATGCCTTGCCTACCCGTGTTCCAAGGGACCCGGTTTCGCTTACGTCGGACCCAGGTAGACAAGACGATGGTGTGAAAAAGCCTAGATAGACTGACACCACAACAGACAGACAGACATAGCAATAGACTGAAGGACAGACCAAGAGGAAGACCTACCAATATTTGCAGAGTCACTACCCTGAAAGCTGCCATTACAACTCCCACCGCTGTTGCTGATGTTGCTGTGCGGACTCGAGGCGGACTGTGAAAACTCATCTTCTTCCCTGGGAACAAGAAAAAAAAAATATATAAAATCAGGTCATGCAAATGAGGTCAACAATAGGGATGTGCTATTGGTCGATGGTGACATCAAAAGCCAAAGGCAAATTCAAAACTTATATCATCACGCTGACGTTTCGAAACAAACCGGCAAATTTACTAATGAAACAAGTACACAAAACTTGATATATGCAAATGAATAGGTCATATGATATCCAGAGAATTACCACTTCATCTATTAATTGGGTCAAAGTAATAACTGTGAGAAGTGTAAGGTTGAGTATATAATACTTGAGCAATGGGGATTGCAATACAGCACTTCAAGTGAAGTCAACATTTGAATGTCGACAAAATCTCAAGTTATTTGGTCCTGACTAACAATCAGCGAGGAAGATTGCACTCGCAGAGTCAACACGCTTGCAGACAGTATCAATACATGCATGTCAAATATTCACCGTAATATAAACGAAGAATACTGCCCACTCAAGAATTGGAAGGGCACAGTTTCTTCCCCAAGTCATCAAAACAAAACTGGAACTGTTAGTATGCAGTGAAGCACATGTACATTCACCAAGTATAGGCATGATCACTATGTTCATTATGTGAAGGCAACTTTCATCAAATCTTAATTTGCACTTTCACACCAAGGCTGCAATGTGAGTCCACACTAATTTCCTCAATATGCCCGAGTAAATTTGTTACATGCACCACTTGAAAATGTCTGACTCAATGTGAAATATTTACGACAATAACTATCTATGATTTTCCTCCATGCAATACAGAGATTCTAAATTGTTCAGAAGGCCCCAATATCACATAATCACCTTGAGCTGGGCAACATGCAGTGTAGCGGATCAGGGGTGGGAGGGGGAGGATTGCAACCCCCCCCCCCCCCCACATTCAGCCTCTGATTAAGTTTATGATACCAGCAAAATATGGGTTCAAAAATAATAAATAGAATGCTAAGGGTCCTAAATTTATTCTCAAATTGCCTTAGAATGCAGGAGAAAGCATTGTAGATGCCCCCAGACCCTAATCCTGGCTTCCCCCATTCACACCAACAGCCCGTTTCCTAGATCCGCCCCTGACATGTACATGTACATTAAATTACATGTATACACTACCATACAATAAGAAGCAGTCATCAGTTAACACACATTCATAATATTCAACCTTGATAAAAATGCAGGCTGTTGCAATTGACGATATGTCACGTCGTAAATATTCCCTGTTTGTCGGCGGAATATCATTAATGTTTGATCGTTTACTTTTGGTAAACAGCATGATGTTTTACAAGTAATCTATATCTTTGCGTCTACGTACATGTACGGCTGTTGAGGCTAAAGTGAATTGGGTTAATTGATTAGCACTTTGCACATTGAAATTTAATTTATTGTGATTTGAAGAAACACAAAGTGTACCCAAAAAAACTCTAGGACGAGCAGTATGAGAAACCATAAACATGTGCACATCATGTGGCTTCAATAGTATTAGTAAGACACAACATGAAAATGACATCGTTCCAGATGATTTTCTCAAGTGGCAACGAGAGCCAAATAGCTGGACACCTGTTTTACACAAGGGGGCACTGTTTAGAGAATGGGACCCAACATTAATAGGTTTTGACAAGTCAAAACCCAAGTGACCGTCTGGTTAAGCCATCCTGTTAAGACCCTGGTATTTCAATCTGACCCAGGTCTTCAGTGTACCCTTGCAACAGTTACAGCAAAAGCGCAACAGTAATGGCAAAAGTGCAACAGTAACGGCAAAAGCGCAACATTAACGGCAAAAGCGCAACAGTCACGGCAAAAGCGCAACAGAAGCTATACTGAACAAAAAGAACTGCATTCAATGCAGCATCGCAGCAGCAGAACGAAAGACATGGTGACTTAAAAGAAACCAAAATCTAATTTTGACTGTTATAAAAAGGCACGTGAGAGACGTGACATCGCACATAGACCGTTCAACACAACCGTCGCAATGTCGCACCCTGAGGCATACCAGTTTACCACTGAGAGGGAAAGGGCCTGCATATGACATTATTAGACATGACTGGAGGGCGGAAATTCTATCAGCACATTCCCTCCTCATGGGGGCAGGGTGAGGGGCACCCAATGCCACATCCAATTCCGCTCATATTTCCAGGGGCAAATTAGGGGAGCTGGCTGTGGGGAAATGTGGGGAAACGAGCGCATCAATTCTCTGGCTGATCCCGGGACATACATGTGCAAACCGGGGTAAATGGCAGTTGGGGTCAAAATCTCAATCTCGGAGAATCTGACCTAGATACTCAAACCTTTTTTTTGGCTCATGAAATTCATTAAAGGTGGGTCAAGACAACACATAGAGTACATGTATATCAGAGGGATTGTCAGTGTCCCAATTAAGCAGGTTCATAATTCACGTGAATTTCGATTAGGGTAACTGCGAGCGTCAACTTGAAAACTTAAAATTTGATGTCCTGAAATTCGCTTTTCGATCGCTTTCGGCTGAAGTATGCACTGGCCTTTAAGTGCGGGTTACAGCCAGCACTTACAAAAGTAATATGGACACATCCATTCTTTGGCTGAACTAAAACACGATACAAAACAACTAACTGTCTTTGCCATATTCCATACAAATTCTTTGATTTGGCATGGATAGTGAACCAGCCTTGCAATGAAAACAATACTTTATGACCTTTTCTCTTCATTAACTACAAAGTTCTTGAATGATTTGTTATCGGGAACAATCTGTAAAATGGAAGTTTGAGCAGATAACACAAGTGTAACCGACGAATTCCGAAAAAATGCACATCTACGTAATTAGAGGTTAGAATATCAAAACAGGTGTACATCTTTAATATTTCACTCAAATGCAAGTGCTATGGTACATTTTGTGCGTGGACTACTGCCTATCCAGTTTTGGAGTAGAATTACGCGTCCAGACAATCCAAGATGAGGCAGCACTTCCGAGTCAGTGATAACACTTTCCAATCCCCTTGCCAAACAGAGGGAAGGATGGCAAGACAAATACACACCCTCTCTATATTCAGCAGAGGACAGTACCTGCCTCTCTGCTGGTGAGGGAAAAAAAATTCAACACCTAGCCAACAGCTAAGGCACAATATATTCCATCGGAGACTGTCCTGCCCATTGTAGACTAGGTGAGAGAAATGCATGAGAAAACACTGAATGAATTAGATGATGCCTTACTGAGGATACAAGAATATGCTAAGAATAGGCCAAGAAGAAAAATACCTGTGTTTTTGGTTACCCCAGCCAACCTAGAAAATCATGCAGAATCTAAATCTTTTTTTATTCAAAAAAATAATAATAAAAACTTATAATGGTGCTACCCCCACCCCAGTTTGTGTGGACACATTGTCCTGCATTTATTTTTTTCTCTTTTTTGTGTAAGTTGGTCGGCAGTGATATCTTGCCGCACCGTGCAGCAAAGCACCAAACACAGAATGAACAGTTGATTCATTTGTAAACTGAGATGAATGCATGCGAAAAAAATAATAATAAATTAATAAAAATAATAAATAGAAATATTAAAAACAAAATGAAATCATCACCATCATCTCTCCCTATTTTTTTTCTGGCTGTAAAAAAATAGAGCCAAAAAAGTAAAATAAAAAATGTATCCACCCACCCACCCTATTTTTTTCTCAATGTGATGGGAAGCACAACTTTTTTGCCCTTGGCCTGACCAAGGATGAACATAAAGTACAGCGATGTTTTCATAGAAGCACTTCCCTTTCGCGAGAAATTGTGCCATTCACGCTTCTACTGGATGGTTATTCATTCGAGCGGCAACGAGGGGAAGAATTCTCCCCCCCCCCCTCCTCCCCAAGAATTCTTCACCTGGGATGGAACATTATTTCCCAAGTGATGGGACGGTAATTTATTTAGGATGATGACTTGTTACAGGGTAGGTTTGAGGGGAGGTAAAGGGGATGAAGAATGGAGGGGGGGGGGAGGAAGATGGGGAGGGGGACATCAAGGTGACGAACGCTGATTAAGTTGCAGTGGTTTCATGATTACGTTGCAGCAAATTATGGAGACATTTATGTTCGGAGTGTCGGTGCATCAGGGGTGGTACAGCATGGATTGCAAAAATGCCAACGTGATAAATTGACAATTATGTCACCGATTAAACATCTCTGAGAGCCATTATGGGACAAACATGCATCTTATAAATACATTTTGTACATTGGAACTGTGGGTCTGGTCGAGATTTAGTTAATCATTAGGCCCCTTCCAAATCTAAATTGTTAGTGCGTGGTTATGCATACTCAATCATTTTGTTCGTTATTCCTTCATGGGATTTTAAACACCTATAGATTAACACTTTTAAGAAAATGTGGCAACATTTATCACGTTCTACAGCGAAGGCAAATGTATGAGTGGCTAATTATCTTTTAAGATTATTTAAATGATATGCACATACTCTGGGTAACCAGGCTGGGCAAGGACCCAATCTAATGTCTCTGCTCACAAAACACTGAGGCAATTTAAACGCCATGTAAAATCTCACTCCTGGGCATTAGCAATCTGATGTGATAACCATGCCCAAAATTTGGGCAACAAAACTTGACTATTACATCTTTTCGTGGGCAACCAGAAAAGTGTCTAATGTACATTCAGCACCAGGTCTAGAATTCTCTATATTCGGTAGAAATTCCCCAAAACCGGGTCCATACAGGACTTACAGATTGTATTCTTTTTATCCATATTGCCAAAAATGTGATGGCTTTAATTGAACACCTGATCTTTTAATATGAATTGAACTTGAGGATGGCAGTGTTTTCAAAAGGTTGCCTGATGTTATTTTGCTTGCACACAACAAAAACCAGCTTTAAAATATGCTCCTGAGACATTGGGGAAAAAAAAATATCTTGGCACAATCATTCTCACATCACTCTGCACCAACCCTCTGATGTGTGTGGTCCACAACCCAACATTGCCCAGATCTATAATATATTTTTTTACCGCAGCATCTGATATTGCGACTGGTGAGGCAGAAAGTCTGGTGCTATCAATGTGTATGACGCCATTGACGTGGAATGTAACGTTTACGGCCAGACAAAAATAACATTTCTCCAGTGACAAAATCTAAATCCTGCAAACATGTATCAGTAGTTATAATCAAACCCATTGCAGCAAAATTTTCTGAGACAAAATATTTACTTTGTTCTCTTCCTACACCATTGCCAAACCCATAAAATACCTTTCACCTGAAGGTTATTTCTGTCTCACTGTTTCACAACAGACCACAGTAACCATGGTGAAATTCCACCCTGCAAAATTATCCATATTAGTAACACCAGACAGCAAGTTTCCACACCATTAAAAAAAATTCAGCCGCCTCATAAAAATGCCAGGTTTTATTTCATTTGGTAAAAGGTCATAACTTTGAAGCTTTTGTTATCGGTTTCCTTTCACATGCCGATAACTGATGCGACCTCAGACATTTTTGACCAGGTCGGAGGTCAGGGGTCAGACCCATGGACAGCAAATCGCCCATAGGGTCAAGGTTTATATTACAGATGTAAACTCTCTGGGCTCCGAGGTGTGGACACTGATACCTCCCTACTGGGTTCTCAAAATAGCTGTCATCTGTCAGGAATTAGATCCGAATCTGTTCTTTATTTTATGGTTTCTGGCCAATTTGAGACTCCTTTGGCCCCCAAGGACAGAGCTAAATCCAGACAAAAGCCCTGGGGCCTGTTGTTGTATCTGATACAAGGGGGCCTGGGTGGTTGAAATTCAAGTTCACTTTACAATGGGAACTCGCTGATGCCCTGCCTAGTAGTGCTCAGGGCTCAGGCACCAATACCAACGAAAGTTCCTTTAGGTCTTTTGAGTCATTTGTCAAAGGGCTCTCTGTATAAAAATACAACCTCACCCTGATGAGTGATCTGTAAGTGCTTCGGAGACTCAACAAAAAAGTTTTGCATGAGTCAGGAATGAAATATTTTGTTGCAAGACAGCCTAACATCCGAAACAGTGCTGTGGTTTTTGGAGATCCATCAGCGATGAGCTTAAACAAATCCAGATTGGTTTATAACTCACAATCCAGACCCTATTCCAAAACAAACTACCTCATCGTGAGTCAGAAAAGAAATATTTTCAGGAAGCTTGGTCATAGGAGAACGCTTCTCTGTAGAGTCTTCTCTCAACAAGATTTACATGGGAAAGCAGGTGTACAAATCAATTGTAGAGTGAAAGGAAAACAAAAAAAGAGAAAAGAGCAGCATTCGAACCTGTGAACTCCAGAACACCTGAAGTGTAGACAACAGACTAGGACATTTGAAATTTCTCACCTGATGCACTTTCATTTTCATCATCTTTTTCTTTAAAAGTTAAAGCATAACTTACACCATAGGTAGAATTTACACAACAAATTTGTTGCAAAGCTTCACAATATACTTAAAAGATCCATTGCGCAAAATTTGGCATGCTGCGCAACATTTTCCATACTTAAAATATCTTGGACAAGGATAACAACAGCTTTTACGATGCCCGTTTGTGTATGATTTCCGTTCGGATACAAAACAGTCGGCGAATCACCTTCGCCTGTCATTTCAAAATCAGTTTTGTCCAACCTTTTTTTGGAAATTTTCGGAATCGTGCCACAACTCTAAAAAATCTGTCACAGGTAAAAAAGTAACTCATTTACTTAAAAAGCTGCGATTTTAGATCAACCTTGATAGGTTGTGTACTGATAGGCTCCACGACAATCATGATTATTCATAAAAATAATCATTTTTCAGTCGCTATGCAATTACTTAAGACACCTCAAACAATTGCGTAAGTTATGCCATCATTTGTGGCATATAAGTTGTGGACTTTCGTACTGCGACACTTTTGTGAATAGGGTCATAACTGAGATGATGCACAACATGAAATGTAATTGCACACTTGTGCAATAAAATAGGGCATACATGTAAGTGGGGTTACGCCATTGCGCAAAGTTTCGTAAAATCGGCTGCTGATTAGAAAATGGCGTACCTGAACGCAACACCGTGCGATCTGTCTATCTTCTTATTGAGCTCTGCGATGACGCTGTGCAGCTCTGTTATTCTCTCCTCATACCGGATGGCTTGCTGGTCTAACCTGTCTTCATTGTCCCGCAAAAGGCGTGACCTCTCCACCTGTACAAAAGAATGATCACTTATTCAGGTGGACAAAGAAAAGTAACCAAAACGGGATTTGAACTTGCAACTTATGAAATGCCTTCCCGGTGCTCTACCAACTGAACAACCAAACCCTGTCCCTGTTACATCTGACATCTTTGATTTTATAAATCTGATGCACTCCTTTATGCAGTCGTCCTCCAAGAGCGATTATTTGCTAAATGATAATTGAATGGCAGTAACAACGTACCAAGGTAAACATGGAGAGGACAACTTGAACTGTTGCAATTTAGACCCTAAATTTACAGAATAACCCATATGTTGGCAGTTTCATAATTAGTCACGGTCTTTCTTCTTTGTAGTTCCAAATATACACGTATGCAGGATGGGGGAAAAAAGATGTGCAGAAAAAAATTCTGAACATTTTTAAGTGACAATTTTATGGAATGATTAATTTATCAAACAACATTTTTTACTTACCATGTGTCAAGGCCAATTTACACATACGCGACTTTGTCGCACAAATGAGTTGTGTTTACAATTACGTGACAAAATCATGCAACTTATCATGCGACTTTTTAAATCAAATTCGAAGTGACTCTGTCGTGCAACAAAGAAACATTGCATACGTATTTCATATAGACCCGGCACCAGAAACATGATTATTTTTAAAAGATCCTGTGACAATTAAAGTCAACTCAACAATGTTGATTTTAGTAACATTTTTTTAATGACAGATCAACCTTGCCTTGGCTGCTTGTTCATCTTCATGATATAAAAATCTGATAACATCCAACGCGACTGCTGAAATTTGTCATACAGATACAAACAGTGTACACATGTGGCAAGAAATGTGCGTGAGTGCCGTTCATGGTCGACACATTATTTTACCCTTACAATATGAGGTCACTGTCAAATACAGTTATAAAAAACATAACATATTCTGTCCTTTCAATCCTCATATCTTAAAACAACTACTTTTGCTTGGAAAAGCTGTAGGCGAGGAAAAAATGAACGAAACAAAGAAAGTAAAAAAAAAAAAGATTACCTGAACTACTTGTACACATACAAATCTAATTTACATATTTAGCCAGCCATTTACCAATCTACATTGTACTCAAAGAAAATTCTGAGAGCTATTAATGCAGTAGAGTTCAAGTTTCAAGGATGTCATTTCAGCTGAAAAATATCGGTAACTGGAGTGTTAAATGTATGCCGGGCAATAAAAACCTTTAAACACCCCGGCAACGGAGAGGGAACGAGCCCGCATATTCCCATTTAATCCCTAATTACTTCCGTTTTGCCAACCAGCGCTACTACGACATCCCCATTCAATACAGGGGGGACAAAATCCGCAAAGGTTTTCACAAATTAGCACGGAAATTAGGAAAGTACACAAAGGCAGAAGCTTGCGCTTTTAATAAACCCACACTAACAGAATTACCCTAGGGCAGCGCACTGCACGCATTATCCGACACCTTTTGGAATGTCGGCACTCATCATAACGACTACGGCCTAAAGCTCCGACAGAGACAATCTTTCACAGCTTGCCGCGAATCTCAAACTAGGAGGGAAAAAATAAAAAAGGAAAGTAATCCAGTCACATCCCAATATAAATTGCGCCTCGCACCGCGGGATCATCGGAATCTACAAAATACGCCCAAGTGGAGTATTCCTTTTTTCTTCTGCGTCTATTTAGACTTGTGATTGGTAGGGGGAGTGGAATGATAAGACTAAAGAAAAAACAGGGGGGAGGAGGGGAGAAAGAAATCTATAAATTGGCTAGGAGCGCCGGAAACTTGATTCGGTGGCAGCGTCGAGCGACTAGAGCCCCTCCGAGAAGTCCGGACGATGTTGGAGATGAGAGGCAAGCGAGCCGGCTAGTCTGTGGCAGTGTTGACATTCAACGATCGGTTGTTGGATGCTGATACCCTACTCTCCAGCGTTTTCTTTTTTCCCATTGTGGCCCAGAATAGCACAGGCATGCTAGGGTCTGTGACCCCTTCTTTTCATTTTTGCATATTTTTCACATTACCCTGTTGGTTAAGTTTAAACGTTCTTTCCTGAAAGAAGATTTCAAAAGAAGCAATGGAAAAGGCTATGGGAATTAGACTGTTTGATCCGGTCGTGCTTAAGCATTTGCAGGCTTTCACGATCAGCCATTCCATGAAGAATTTTGATTGATTTGACATATTTTCTTCAGTTGAGCACGCTGTCTTGCAGCAAATATGCTGCTCAATATTTACCATATGCTGAGCTGGAATGCGTCCGAATATTCGGCTAACAGTGATTTTAAACAAATGTGACAGTGATTTCACGAATAATTCAACTCATTGCTGAAATTTAAATCAAATTTTGTATCAATCTGCTATATCAAAAGTAAGACCGTAATCAACCTTTGTCCTTGTGTGAAATTATTTCCGAGCCATTTTCCTTGCTCTTTCTACCCTGAATCGGTAAATAAAAAATAAAAAATAATAAAAATTAGAAAATTTAAAACTTCCCCTACCTGTGCCTTGCCCAGTTTCTTGTCCAAGACATCTCTCTCTGCGCTGACTCTCTGTAACCGATTCGTTAACTCGATAATTTCTCCCTTCAACGAGGCTAGGGCAGCCAGATGTAACTGCAAAGAAACAGACAAAAAAAGAAAGCAAATTTAGTCAAAATGCAAGTTGCAAGTTTCTGCTGATATGTGATCAGGGAAAAAAGACATCCAAGGGTCATTTTATATTTTTGGGTCCACTTGTTTGTTCCTGTCCCTGTTACAATGTACATTACATCTGAAATCTATGATTTTACAATTCTGATGCACTCCTTAACATATTGTTCTTTCAAAAGTGAAGTGAAGCAAACGACCTGTCTAACAAACAAAACATCATTTAAAGTCATTCCTAATGATACTTAAATGGCAAATTACAAAGTACCAAGGTAACAGGGACAGGAAAAAATGTCACACTTGCACCCTACATTTATAGAATGACGCACAATATAATCTTGGATTTCAATATCATTTTGTTACAATGAACTGGCATTTAGGAGAATTTTGATTTTTTGAGAAATATATCATGTAACTGTATTTCATGAATCAATAAGTTGCCCAGATGAAAAATCATTGGATTTTGGGAAGCAGAGTAAAACATTAGTCTAGTAAGTTCATACTCAATAACTGTTGAGACCAGTACAATTGTACCCAGGCAGAAGGTACAATGCGTTGTACAATGCGTTGTCCAATGCACATTGTCCAATGCATTGTCGAATGCGTTGTCCAATGCATTGTCCAATGCATTGTCCAACGGTTTGTCCAACGCGTTGTCCAACGCGTTGTCCAACGCGTTGTCCAACGCGTTGTCCAACGCGTTGTCCAATGCATTGTACAATGCGTTGTCCAATGCGTTGTACAATGCGTTGTCAAATGCGTTGTACAATGCGTTGTACAATGCGTTGTTCTAAACTGATTGACAAGTACATGTGAAGTACCGGTATGTACATGTTTACATGCCTGTTCTCCTATATTGCCACAAGCTTTCTCTCTAACTGGATCTTCATGGCAGGATGTGTATTGTGTAATCCCTTCCAATGAGATTACAGATTTCCATGAAGTGAGAATAGGATTATCCAGGGATTATCTTGCCTGATTGACTGCTAATCCCTGCTTTGTGACAACACTAATGGGCAACCCAAAATCTGTTGTGGTCAAAAATCACAGGGATATCAGGAACATGCTGTTTGTGCATTTGAATCGTGGAGAAATAAAACTGTCACCACCGCACACAAGTACAATTTATTAGCCTTGATGTTATCCTATGGGGATCTGTCTTATTAAATTCTTTCATGTTGCAGTTTAACCAAATATAGTGAAGTGCTACAAAACAGATGAAAGAGTTCCATTTTAAAGGGCCATGCAATGTAATTTTTTTTAATGTAATCCTTGAAAATGCACTTTAGTGTCCCACTTACATGTATACCTTATTTTCATTTTTAATTTTGCCATTTTTGAAGGGCATTTCGGTGCCTTTTTGGTTTTCATGCTAATGCAAATTTCAATATTCATGAGCAAAAGTGTGATGTCATTTCTGGCAGAAACCTCAATGTTACAGCTATTTCAGCACCAAAGTTTGCCAGAATTTTGGATATTTTGCCATCCTAAATTTTCTTTTCTGTGGTGATTCATTGTTGTGTCAGTACATGGCAGTAAGCCAATGAGCAAACTTTTCTCATTAATGTTTTCAATGAGCAAATTTTTGGTTTTACAATTTGAACAGAAAACTCCTAAAACAGAACAGTGTCTTCCTGAAATTGCATCACAGCAACAGCGCCCTTACTTGTCCAGAAAAGCATGGAATTTTAAAATATTTTTAAAGAAGTGCACTTTTCAATAAAATTAACCAAATAAGGAATGTCAATTAGTTTCCATAAATTTAATAGGAGTAGAATGTTGCACAAAATATGTTCCGAAGAAAAATGTATTTCATAGGCCTTTAAGTTACATAAGCCCTTTTCACACGACACAAATTTTGGGGTTGACGCAGGGTCGACGCAGGGTTCAAAACATGCATCGTTTCACACTTAAAGAATTTCAACCCTGCATCAACCCTGCGTTAACCCCGAGATTGATTTCGCCCCCGGTTGAACTCAACCCTGCTCCAGACCAGGGTTGAGATTTTCAACCCGGGTTGAAATTCTTGCCAGGGTTCAAAACAGTAGTAACTGAGCACGATAAGCTTGATTTGCATGAAACAATTGTGAAACGATGCGGGGTTGAAAAATCAAAAACTTAACCCGGGGCGGCACTGGGTTCGCCCAGGGTTGAGTTCAACCCGGGTTGAGAGGCTCTAGTGTGAAAAGGGCTATACCGGTACATCTACAACTGTATACTGAATACTGATAGAAAAAAGGGAAAATGACATTCCAAGAGTGTTTTCCTGGATAAACTGACGTGTAATAAATGGCTTGCAACTAAAAATGCAAGTGTTAAAAAAAAAAAGTCACAAAAGATTTTTTTTAGGAACACCTGGAAGGTGCCATGACCTTTTGGTTGAACGAAAAATCCACAAAACAAGTCCTTGAAAATATTGACAATGGATTTTGTGATTGACTAAATCGTCAATTCTCACACACAAAAGTGAAAGTACAGGCGTAAAAAGTCAAGGCTACAATTCAGCGTTACAATACCCATACACAAATGGCACTTTTTTTTTTACTACAATCTGACAAAATTGTTCAGACTTCAATGGTTGTTTCCGAGTACGGACAGGTTAATCCGCTCATGAATTCAAACAAAATGAAAGGGGTTTTCAATGTATGATTGTAAAAGTTTAGTGTGTGTGTAACCAAGTGTCTCTCAGGTCAGTATGAAAATATGTACATAATTAAACATTGATACAAAAATGCCTGAAAGTACCGGTACACAACAGCGACACAACTTACAGACACCTTTACAAGTACAGCATGCCACAGACAAATTTGCAAGGAAACAACTTCTGAAATTAGAAATTGCTGTTTACTTTAAAATAGCCCAATTTAAAAATTGTTCAGCTGCCCTTTCATTGTTGCACATTATGTACATGTACATGGAACACATGAACATGAAATGTAACCCGATATACCCACCAGGAACGTGTGTTGTCACCGGTACATGTACATGATGTACTGTAATTACACTGGAGATGTTCTGTACGGTGAATTTGTAATTATAACACTTGTAATGTTTTTCTCAAACTTATAACACTGAGATGTAGAACTACATGTATGTACATTTGTAAGGGGAGGATGAAAGTTTATTCACAATGTATCATTATCAACCTCCACAAACCACCCTTTCTGGTACAGCCCCAACTTTAGCACCCAAGGTCTGTACATGGATTTTTTTAAATAGAGTTATCAGGGAATAAATACAATGCATTACAATGTACTACAGGAGACAATCGGTTACAACTTACATCACAAACTTTGCAGGATTCTCTGTTCACCATCTTGGAAGTTGCTTTAAAATGGCAAGGTGGATTCAATCAACAATTATCACAAAATCACATCCATCATTTTGGTACAGCGGGGATGCTACTCAGTCGCATAAGAAAGTTGTCAAGACTTGCTGTTAATCCACACTCCGGTAACTTTCCTTTATCAAGGAGTACAAGTGGCACACATGTCCACTCCAAGTAACAACTGTTCAAATATAACAGCTAGAGGTTTATACATGTACCTGTAAACAAACTTTGTTCTTTTTTGTTCCAGAGCGAGAGCTGTGATGACTCACATCAAAACAAGACTGGGTCAAAACCTTCAGCACTCAAGAAGCCAGGACAGGGTTGAATGGGTCCTCCAATCCCATTACATGTACACTGTACATGTACCACAATCAACAGTTTACCCTCTCTAATAATGCTCTCTCTCTACATTAGAAAGATCAACATGACAATGAGAGCATCTCTGAAGGCAGTAGGCACCCAGGCAGACCCTTAATCAAGGTCCCCCTCCATTGACCCGGTTTCTTGAAATTTGCATAGATCCAATCAAATTACAGGGATAAGCTGGGGGATTACTAGGATGTTTGTTGGTTAAAATTCCCTGAATTCAAATGCTTGTCATGGACCTTATGTTTTCATTGGTAGTGCATATTGTGTCTGCTTTTCACACCTTATCAAAATGGTCTTTGAGCCAAAGCAATGCAGCATGGTTTGTGTCAACACTATTCAACTAAACACAGTAACACCTAGAGGTACACATGTATGTAGTCTTGTATTACAAGTTGTATAGTAGAGAGTTCTACATGTACATGTATCTTCATAAGGTGCAATGTACCAGATGAGCCCGACTATTATGAAGTGATGAATGGGAGGTTTGCGGTAACACCAAGTGAATGATATCTCTATGAAGTGATGCTCCAAAATTTACCAGCTGCCGGGGTGGAACAGTTTTGAAAGTCGAGGGGAGGAGGGGGAAATGGAGGTGGGGGGGGGGGGGGGGGGGGGGGGGGGGGGGGGGGGGGGGGGGGGAAAGAGGGGGGGTGGAAGAGGGGGAGGGGGTGCAAAGCACTGCCGGTGCTAGCCAGTCCTTTGCGAATTCGAAATTAAATTCGACTGGACCTCTTTTGACTTTAGGGGAGGGGGGGGGGGGGGGGGGGGGGGGGGAGGACGCCCTTTATTCCAATTTTAATTCAAATTATTGTGTTCAATATTTTATAAGCTTGATGTGTGGCCTATGCGTTCTTGAAAATGTTAAGGAAGTTGCTCTATGGTCGATTAAATTAAAATCGCTACCTTTTGCAAAGTGAGGGGCATTAGCCCCCACCCCACACACCTTAATCCCAACTCTCACTTTTTTTTGCAAAATCCTCTGAATCATCTACTCTGCAAAAACATGGGGTAATGAGTCCAATGCAAAGTAACTGTATAATTTGCTAAAATTTGCTGAAATCCTCCTGGTTTTAATGTGAAATCCTCACATTCACGGTCAATCATACAACTTCACACTAATTGCCATCAATTGGTTCAGTAAAATAAATTTGGATGCAGTTTCAAGAGGAATCGTTTCGTTCCAGCCAGCATCACAAAATTTACCCAGCTTTTCAAATTCCATTAAATCTGAAGTATTTGCACTGCATCTAATGAATAAAATGCACAA